ACTGACCACGGGACTTAAGTGGCCATGCTGATGACACTTCCAGCTGGACCAGCTCAGGAGAACACCTGACAATAACTATAATGAGACATTCTTATTATCTCTGGGGATGAGAAACTGAGGCTTGGAGAGGTGACGTGACCTGCTCCTGTAAAAAGCGGAGAAAGCAGGAGTCCGCTTGACGTCAAAGCCTTGGGCAAGCTGCTGCCTCCCTGGGCCTCAGCCTTCCCTGTTGCAAAGCGAGGGCACTTGGCTGCCTGCCGCTGCAGATTGGCATGAGAGAGCCGATGCTGTCATGCTTTGAAGGGTGTGTGGTCCTATATGGAAATGAGAGGAGGTGGATCATAGTTAGAAAAACAATGACGCCTGTGTTCAAATGTATGGTTGTGATTTTTTTTTTAAATTTGAAGATGTAGAACTTCCCAAAATATCTGAAAGGAAAAGTCATTGCTCTTCAATGATGGCCATTTTGAAAATACAGTTTTCCAGCGGGGACTGTTGTTGTAAACTGTGAACAGGATGTACCTTTCCTGTGGAATGTATGCAGGAACAGTCCAATCAGTACTTTAATTGGTATGGCATTTTAGTGTTTCTGAAATGCTTTCAAATCCATGTCCCATTGAATTGTTTCGTGGTGAAGACCACATCTTTGGTACTGACAAACCTGCGCCAGGGTCCTAGATCCAAAACTTCATAGCTGTGTGAGTGGGAAAGGCATTTAACCTCTCTGAGCCTCAGTTTCTTCATCTGCAAAATCGGATAATTCTATTCAAAGGGTAGTTCAGAGTATTAAGTATGGTAATACATATTGAGTACCTCAAATAGCCTATTATGTGTAAGTGCACAATAAATCCTAGCCAGTAACTCTGTCCTCACGATCACGCTGATGAGGTCCGAGGTGTCACATCCCCAGTTCAGGAGATGAGAAACATCCAACTCAGAGATGGTCATTGTCTTGCCTGGGGTGGCCTGGCTAGTGGGTGACAGGCCAGCCCAGGCTCCAGCTCCTTCCCTGACCCCACAGCTCTTGAATATTCAATAGGTCAGTGCTGTTCCATTTTAAAGACCTTTTTTCAAGGCTAATAATAGCTCTTTGTTGCTGTCCAGAGGAAGGAGTGGCCTCCAGCCTGGATTTGGATTCTCTAGCCTCCAGGTCCCCACCCGCCCCTCCCCTGGTTTGCTTTAGGGAGCCACCATTACTAATGAGAAGTGTGTCATATCCTCAGGGTGGGCTGGGGCAAGGCAATGGGAGGCTGAGGAAGACGGACAGGCTTATACTTGGCTACTGGCCAGGCTCCAGAAGCATGGCTGTGTGTCATCTGCAGCAGACAGCCACTCCATTGTGTCTGCACAAGCCCATCAGAAAGGGGAAGAGGGGAAGATTACAGCTGTGCACTACCAGACTCCAACTCAGAGCAAGGCCATGGCTGGTTCCCTCCTCTCCCGCACTCCCTCTGTCCTGCTCAGGAGCGCCTTCTTGTTTTATTAGCTCTATGTACATTTATGGAGTTCACTGCACGCTGGGCACTTTCTGTCTATCAGGGGAGACTGTTGAAAAACAGAATTATCTTCTGGAGGGCGGGTCCCTTGTAGTACAGGCCTCCCTTGCTGGGTGAGTGTTGTAGGAACCCATCTGTATCAGTGCACCAGCTGGCGTTGCTCTGAGAGGCTGTGTTGGGCTTCAGTGGGTTTTTTTGAAGATTCTTTCAACTCATTTGCCCATTTTGTGGTGGGCAATTTAGGAGCACTCCTGCCCTCACCAAGGAGAGTGTTCAGCAGTTTTTGACCAAAAAATGGCACGACCCCTGTGCCCCACCCTCCCTACCTCCCTATTCACCTGATCTCACCCCCTCACCCCGAGCAACCTTTTTGTTTATTTGTTTCCTTGGTTGAAAAAAGTCCTCAAAGGGAAACAGTTTGCTGTTGTGGAAGAAGTAAAACAAAAATACGGCAGAAGCACTAAAAGGCATCAAAACTGACAAGTTCAAAAAGTATTTTGAGCAGTGGAAAAAATGTCTTGATAGATGCATTGCATCAAATGGAGAGTACTTTGAAGGTGACTGAAGTTTAAATATGTAAGAATAAATACACCATTTTTTTAATAAATAAATTCTGTTTTGGGGGGTTCCCTCTCAAATACGGTCACGTTTAATGCTCATAAGTGGGACCCCATGGTGGGTCCTCTTCTTAGCCTTGCAGCCTCCAGAGCGACCCTTTAAAACAGTCAGATAATGACACGCTTCTGCCCAGAGTCCTCACTGGCTTCCCATCCGCCACATCCAAGAGTGGCAGCACCGCCCGCAACGTCTGACTCGGTCTGGCCCTGCCACCTCTCTGACCTCCCCCTTTCTATTCTCCCTGACCCAGCGAACTACTGTTGCTTAACAAACTACTCCAAACGTAATGGCTAAAGCCATTTTACTGTTTCTGCTGATTCTGTGCATTAGGAAATCAGCAGAGCACGGAGGAGACGGTTTGCTCTGCTGCATGTCACGTCCGCTGGGGCTGGAGTGTCCAGACGGCCTCTTCACACCCGTGGAGGGGCTTGGCAGGGATGACCTGAAGAATAAGGGACTGGCGATAATGGCCCACCAGGGTCATAAGCCTGAGACCTTGGTTCTCCTCCCTGGAGGTGGAGGCCTCTTCCTCTCCAGGTGGAAGCCTGACTTCTTACATGGTGGCCCTAGTCTCACAAGAGTGCAGAATTGGAACCTTCAAGCTCTTGTCAGGCTTGTGTCTACAACGGGCAGAGTGTTACTTCTGTCATGTCCTTTGGTTAAAGTAAGTCGCAGATGCAGCTCAGATTCAAGAGGAGGCGGTGATGAAGGGCTGGTGTGGCTCATCAGGGGCCACCTATGAAACAGACTTCCGTTCATCTGCTTGTCTCCAGCCACACAGGCCTCCATGCTCCTCTTCAAACATGTCATGCACATCCCTGCCCCAGGGCCTTTGCACTTGCTGTTTTCCTCTTCTAGGATGCACTTGCCCGAATGTCCACAGAGATTACCCCCTCCCTCCATGCAGCTTCGGCCTGAATACCACCTTAATAGAGAGATCATAACTGACCCCAGCTTATCAAAAACAGTGCACTTTGCCCATCACCTCTGCCCCTACTCCACTCTGGATTTTTTTTTCACTTATCACCCCTTGGCATAATATTTGTTGCCTATGTATTGTCTGATTTCCTCTGCCCTCACCTCAGAATATAAGTGCCACACGTGTAGGGCATTTGCTTTGTTCTGTGTGGTAGGTCTAATTCCAGATCTAACATATGGTCAATGTATTTGTTGGATAAATATTAGAGTTGAGGAAACTGAAGCTCAGAGAGGTTAAATAACTTTCCCAAAGACACACAGCTATAATTGACAGAGCCAGGATCCAAACCCAAGCAATTTAGCATCTAACATTGAGCCATAGAAGTTTTGTTGCCTATAAGGTTAATTGCTTAGTTAATTGCCTCCTGTTTTCTCTCCTTAAGTCCAATCTGTCTTCACTCAGAGTGGTCTTCCCACAACTCAAATTGGATCAGGCATAAAACCCATCTTGAAGGGGGCATCCTCCCCTTCAACAGAGAGACTTCCTTTAGACCACAGCACAAGGCACAGCAAGGCTTGGCCTCCAGCTGGGGCCTGATGTAGTAGAGCAAATACAGACTTTTGAGCCAGGCAGACCTGGTTCTGTTTCCAGCGCTCCTGCTCGCAGGCTCTCTAAACACGGGCAGATTAGGAATGCCATCCATTCATCCGTGCAGCCATCCACCCAATAGGTATTCATGAACTCCTGCTCTGAGCCAAGGATCGTGGTAGGTCCTGTGTCACTGAGGCGGACAGACGTATAGTCACACAGTCACCCAGATAAATATGCATTTACAGGTGAGATAGGTACCATAAAGGGCTCATGGTGTGGGAAAATGTGTCACGAGACAACTGTAATAGTGCAGTGAGGTAGGGACAATTTCCTGAGGCAGTGACATTTGAGTACGGGCTAAGAGGGTAAAGATGTGAGCAAGTTCATTCCAGGCAGAACAGCATATGCAAAGGCTCTGAGGAGGTGGGAACACATTTTAGTATTGGAAAGACCCTAAAAACTGTGTGCAGGGCAGAGAACCTGAGGAGCTGGAGAGGCAGGCAGGAGCCAGATCATGCAGGACTTTGCGGGTGTGGGCAGGGGTTGAGGAACCCATCAACGACTTTATTTTGTCATCTGTAAAATGGGGATAATAATAGACTCTTGTTATTAATAATAATAATTTTGCAGTGTCTGTGGTTAACTGGGCATCAGCTGGCTGTAGGCTGGTGTGGGATGGTCTCAACGAGGCCATCACCCGTGTTCTACAGGGTCTCATCCTCTAGCAGGTCAGCTCAGCTCATTGGCACGGCAGTAGCCGGGGTGCAAAGAGCAGCAGAAACCCACAAGCTTAGAACTGGCGTAGCATCATCTCCACTGTACTCTGTAGGTCCAAGCAGGTCACAGGGCCAATCCAGATCCCACTGAGTGAAGCTCTCACCACAGTGCCTGGTGCCTAGGAATTGTTCCATAAATGTTATCACCGTTATTACTGTGTGTAGCACTTTATGCTTTTCAGTGTTTTATTCCATACATCATTTTACCCTACGTTGTGTGATAAAAGCTGGGCAGACCTTACTAGCCCCATTTGACCAATGGAGAACAGAGTTTAGGTAACTCCCTAAGGTCACACATTTAGCTAGTGGCTGCAGCTGAACACTAGCACTCAGATATCATATAGCTTAAAGCATATTTGCAAACACATCTGTTGAAAGGGAACCCATTTGCAGATAATTTCATTGTCCTCAGCACCATCCTGGTAAACAAGCTACTTAAGATACAAATGCTTTTGTCAGTGGCCCAGGCTAGGGGCTGTCTGCAAGGTTTAGTTGTGACCTCTGAGGTCCAAGTCTCTTATACTACTTTTGTTTGTTGACTCCCCCCAAAAGTTGTTGTCTCACTGGGGTGAATGACGCTTTTCTTATTTTTCTACCCAGAGAGCCTCTCTTTGGACTCCAGTTGCTTTTCTTCCCCACCTGTGAATTTCCTCCAAGAATTGCCAAGCTATCGGTCCATTGCCCGCAAGAGGACAAACATTGTTTCTCGAGACAAGCAAAGTGGCACTTTGCTGAAGCCGACAGACTCTTATACCTGCCATCTGGAGGAAGGAATCACTGAAAACCTCGATAGCCAGTCCATTAGAAAGTATGCACTGAACATCTCTGAGAAGCGGAGGCTAAGGTTTGTTCAGGAGCCATCGGGAAAGCATCTGATGTAGGTGTGGGGGGTACATTTTATGCATGGAATACATTTTCTGAAGAGCTCACATAATCAAAACTTTATTACGTAGGGTAAGCTAAGCTGCTCTGACAGAGATACCCAAACATGTAAAAGCTCAATTATTAGAAGTTTATTTCTTGCTCACATAAAAGGCCTGGGTCAGGTCAATAGATGACTTTGCAGTCATTTAGGAACTGGGTTCTTTCCATCTTCAGGCTCTGCAACCCTCCCAAAGCTTTGCTGTTGTCTGCATCTAGCCAATGGAAAGAGAAAGCGTATGGAGTATGAATGTGCCGGTTAGCTGTGCTGCGTAACAAGTCACCCCACAACTCAGTAGTTTAAAACAACAATTTCACAAGTTTACAAATCAGGACTGGGCAATTCTTCTAGCTGCAGTTGGGCTCAAAATCTATTGCCAGCTGTGGTCAGAAAGGTGGTTCTGCTCATCTAGCTCAGGGCCAGCTGGCTGTAGGCTGGTCTGAGATGGTCTCATCCTCCAGCAGGTTAGCTCAGGCTCACATGTATGGCAGCAGCTGATGTCCAGGAGGAGCAGAATCCTGCAGTTCTTCTTGTAGCCTGGGCTTAGCACTAGCACAGCATCACTTCTACTGCATTCTGTGGTCTGAGCAGATCACAAGGCCAGTCCAGAATATAACATTTTGGGGATTCATCCATGTTTTAGCACACATCAGCACTTCATTCTTTTTTATGCCTGAATAATATTCCATTGTATGGATATAGCTCTTTTTGTTTATCTCTTCACCTGATAGACATTTGGTTTATTTTCATCTTTTGACTATTACGAATAGTGCTATGAACATTCTGGTACAAGTTTGTGTTTGAGACTCTGCTTTCCATTCTTTTGGGGTATCTATCTAGGAGTGGAATTATTGGGTCATATGTTAATTCTAGGTTTAACTTTTTGAGGATTGGCCTCTCTGCTTTCCCCAGTGGCCACACCATTTTCACACTTCCATCAGCAGCATATGAGGTCTCCAGGGTTTCCATAGCCTTTCTGCTGGGGTTTTATTTGATGCTAAAGCTTGGCAGTGGTGCCGTAGTCATAGCCATGCTCGTTTTTTAATGCAGGGAGATTCAGGAGACCCAGATGAAGTATCTGTCCGAGTGGGACCAGTGGAAACGGTACAGCAGCAAGTCTTGGAAGCGGTTCCTAGAGAAAGCTCGTGAGATGACGACCCACCTGGAGCTGTGGCGGGAGGACATTCGCAGCATAGAAGGTAGCGCGCCCCACGCTGCGTGTGCTCCTCCGCAGCAGTGCCTGAGGGACAAGGACGGCTCTGTCTGCATCAACTTTGAGCTGGAATCCAGCCTTTCCTTCCATGAATATAAGCAACTTCACACTTAGGATTAGCAGAACCTAACTGTGTCTTTGTCTCCAGAAAAATCACAGATATGCTTCTGTCCCTTCTAGTTGTAGTTATCTTGGAAAACCATTTATGCTCTTCACTACTTTGAAATCCCAGCAGTTTCAAATACAGTTTCAGATCTGCCACTAGATCTTATTATTGAATGTGCTAATGAACATGCTCCTGTGTTATGCTGTCATAAATTTGGTTTTGTTTGTATTTTGTGCACTTAAAACATTGTTCTAAGGTGTGGTTCGCAGTGCCACAGGTGCCCATGGCTCTGAAGAAAGAATTCCTACTTTCCCATAATGGTGACAGTGGGATGTGGTACTGCACTAGGCAGCTCAGGTTGCCATGACAAAGTACCATAGACTGGGGAGCTTAGACTACAGACATTTATTTTCTTAGAGCTCTGGAGACTGCAAGTTTGAGATCAGGCCACCTTGTCACTATGCCCTCACATGATCCCTTTTTTGTGCACGCTCCAGGAGAGAGGGAGTGGGAGAGCGAGAAGGTTTGCCCTGGTGCCTCTTCCTACAAGGGCACTAATCTCATCAAAAGGGCCCCACCCTCATGACCTCATCTAAACCTCATCACCTCCCACAGGCTCGGCCTCCAAACACCATCACATTGGGGCTTAGGACTCCAACATGTGATTTTGGGGGAAGCACAGTTCATTCTATAGCAAGTATACAAAAATCAGAAGTTCTGCTAAAGTATAAAATTAGAAAAAAAAAACATTTTAACATTTGGGTGATACAACAAAGCAAGAGGGGAAAATACCTTTTAGGATTACATAGTTTCTACCATAAAGCAACATTATTTACAGGAGTCTCCTCAAAACTGTTACAATGGAAATTTTGTAAAGTTTGTAAAAAATGTTGCAGGATAAATGGAAGAAATTATTGTCCCCATTATTACTATTATAAGACCTATAAAATACCACTGGTAATTTCTTCAATGAATTACCTTTTCTGGTTTTTGTTTAATGGAGGAAATATAAACGGTTTCTAAAAAGTTTCATTAGAAATTTACAACTTTAACCATCCATTTTTGAAAGGTAAGTGAACATCATGTTTGGAGTGGAATTTAATAGTAAAAGCTAACCTTTATTGAGCCTTCACTATGAACCAGGCCTTGTGTTAAAAATTTTACTCATATTATCTCTGTTGGTCCTCACAAGGTTTTTTCACATGGGTATGTATCACTTGCATGGCTCAAAGAAGTTAAAATATTTGTGCAAATTCAGCGGCTAGGGCAGAGCAGACCCAGAATCTGAACCTGAGCTTGACTGCTTAGGTCGTTACCTGCCATGCCTCTCTCGTTAAGTGGTAGCCCTTCTGGAGATTTTCACTCAGAAAGTGGCTTGCGTTTTGGAGGGTAGTTTCTCTCTGGGGAGCTGGAACCTTGATTTTCTCTTCAGTGAGTCCACTCCTTCCACTTCTGTGGTTTCTTAGCTGGCTAGGTGCTCATGTGGGAGGCAATGAAGGGGTGATAGTCTAGCTGCTTGCTCTGGCAGGGTTGCTGGGATTAGAGAGAAGCAAAGAGTGTGGTATCTTATATCTTCAGTCTCAGATGATGTTCTTTGCTCCCTCAGAGAACAAGCAGACACCCTTACTTGAAGTGCTTTCTGACTGCCCTTAATAATTTCATCATTATGTGGTGGAAAGTTTGTTTTCTTATTGAAAAATCAATGAGTGTAATCCTTAACAGAATAAAGATTAAAAGTATATGCTTACCCCAACGAATGCACATAATCGATAAAATTCAATTCCCATTCTTAGCAAATAAAAAAATAGATGGGAACTTTCTTAATCTAGTAAATATATCTATAAAAATTCTGCAGCAAGCATCACATTTAATGGTGAAATATGGAAATATTTCTCCAAGATTGAAAATGAGAAAAAGGGTGCTAGTTAGCATTGATTCTAATCTACATTGTCCTCAAAGTTCTAGCCAATGCACAGTAATGGAGGGAAAGGCATAGAGAGTGGAAAGGAAGAAATAAAATGTATTTTCTTTAACATAAAGTTGCTAGACACAATATTTATATAAAACCAGTAGCATTTCTATATACCAACAGCAAACACTTAAAAAATGAATATTTTCAAATGACACGATTTACAAAAGTATTAGAAAAAATGTAATACTAGGAATACAGAATGTATAAAGAAAGATATAAATCGCTCTGCACATAAAATATACAATATGGAAATTAAAGAATCTAAATATGTCATGGTCATGGATCAGAAGAGTCAGTATAAAAATGTCACTTGTCCTCAAATTGGCTCATGTATATTCCATGTAACCCCAATCAGAATCTCAGCAGATTTTATGTGTGTGTATCTGTGTAAAAATTAACATACTTATTCTAAAATTTATATAGAAATGTGGAGGACGAAGCATACCTGAGGAAGAACAAAGCTTGAAAGACTTATAGCACTATATGTCAAGCATTATAGTATGTCTACAGTAATTGGACAGTCTGGTATTGGTGCAAGGATAGACATATAGAACAATAGAAGAGAATAGACAATTCAGAAACAGCTTCATACATTATGGTCAGCACCTAAGCGCTATTGTAATTCAATGGGGAAAGGATAGTCTTTCAATAAATGGCACTGAAATGAATTAGATTTTCACATGAGCAAAGACAACCATTGAATCCTTCTGCACACCATTCTCAAATGGTTAATTTAAGATTGAATGTATATTGACAAGTCAAAGGTTAAACCATTAGAAGTAGAGCCTTAAAGCCAACAGTAAAAAAAAAAAAAAAAAGAAAGAAATGTGTTTTTCTCCTTCCCTTCCACCAGGATTCCTCCAACTTAATAAATCTAGAGTGGGTAGTGGGTCAATACTCCTGGTCAGTGATGTCTGGATTTCTTTTTCTCCAGGAAAATTTGGCACTGGGATTCAGTCCTACTTCTCCTTCTTGCGATTTCTGGTGTTACTGAATTTGGTGATATTTCTGATCATCTTCATGCTAGTTTTGCTACCAGTCTTGCTCACCAAATACAAGATCACCAACAGCAGCTTTGTGCTTATTCCATCCAAAGACGTGGGTGAGTCTAAGGCCTGAAGAGTGTTTATCTGGTTACAATGCTTTCTTCTTTAGGAATATTTATATTCTTAGTCCTGGGTGACTGTATTAGTCAAGATGGGCTGGGTCCTGCCACAGAAACAAATGACCCTGTGACTCTCAGCACCTAATAACCACAAAGGTTTCTTTCTTGCTCATGGTACAAGTCCATCACTATTTGTTGGTGGCTTTTTTCCATGTTGTCCTCACACTGGAGCCCAAGCTGATGGAGCAACCTCTTTCTGGACCATTGACAGTCACTGTGTCCAAAGGGAAGAGAACCATGACAAATGTGCGGGCTCCTACAGCTTCTGCCTGAAGCTGACACATGTCATTAGCTAAAGCGAACCACTTGGCCACGCCTGACTTCAGCAAGGCATTTGAGAGGAGAGCCGCAGGGTTGGAAAGTGGAATATTTAGCAAACATAATACAATCTACTTCAGTGTTTTCTTTCCAAGACTCTCATCTCTAATAATAGTGATGCTCAGGGCTACCATTTGTTAAACATCAATCGTGCCAATGGCAAGGGCTGGACCTGTATTTTCTTATTGACTTCTTAACATAAATCACACCTTCTGGGCATTTTGTTTACTCAGATGGGAAGAGTTCCCAGTCAAACTCTACAGACAGTTGACTACCTGTTAGTACCAGGTTCTGTGCTGGGGCTACAAGTGGCAGCCTCATGCCTCTCTTATCACATCATTCCTTTCCCTAGAAGAACCCTCCTCTAGAATCGCTTCTGTGGCCCTAAACATTCCTCCTTATCACAATTGTTTCTGTCTTAATCCTACTGTACTTCAAAATAAAATAAGGGGACCATGGAAACCCTGACTTCATTCAGGGCTGTGGCATTCCTATTGAGTGCCTGCCGTATGCCAGGTGCTTCATTCTCATTTTCCAGTAAGTCCACCGTACAGACACACATTACCCGCTGCTATGTGGAAACCCTGGGTTCATTTTCAAGGCCTACCTCTGCCAGTTGATTAGACTTTCTGAGCCTCAGTTTCCTTATGCATAGAATGGAGGTGATAATTTAAATAATGAGATGGTTAATGTCATTATTCAAATAACATCTCGTTATTGAATACTTAGCTCATTAAAAATAATGCTTATTTAAACTATAAATCATTGAAAACAATAATATAAAGTCTATAGCATTTAACACAGAAAATAAAAATGTTTAAATAAGTAAACAATACTCATAATTTTAAAATGAGTACTAAATAATGCAATGCTCAGCACACGGGAGACATTCAGTAAATGGCAGCTGCTTTTTCTTCTAAGTGTTATTTCTTTCTAAAAGCACTGGATGCCATTCTGCCTCTTGTGTGCACCTGGAGCCTGGGCTCTTACCCACTCAACCTGGCCGCCTGGTCATTTCTCCCTTCAGCCGTAGGCAGAGCCGTGGTAGCAGGAGAGACACCCTCCTGTGGAAAACACAGTTGAACTAAGTGTGGTCAGGGTGCATCCCTTCTTTCTCATCTTTTCCTCTGACTGTACCCTCCCCCTGCACACATACGCTTTAAAAAAAAAACTTATCTAGTAAACACTGTCCCTTAAAAAAAGTATCAGAAGTCTTTCTCTTCCTTTTCTTACCATCTTTCACTTCTTCATTCCTTTGTCAACTGTTTATTGAGCACCTACTATGTGCTGGGCCCCGAGTCTGGCACTGAGGCTACAAGTGGGAACACCCCACCTCTATCCACAGTGCTAATACATTCTAGCAGACGGTGGGCTTTAAGGAACTAACCACACGAAGTGTAGAAGGCATGAATTGGGCAACGGGGAAAAGAAATGGATAAAGTCCTGAGAAGTTGGACACCCTGGTGGCTGAGGGCTCCTCAAAGCTCTCTGTGAAGGCAGGGACATTTAAGCCAAAACCAGGAGGGTGAGGAGAGAGCAGCTGTTGAAGAACTCAGGGAAGCATCTTCATGCAGAAGAACAGCATCTGCAAAGGTCCAGAGCTGGGAAATAACTCCGTGTATTAGAGAAACAAAAAGCCTGGCATGGCTTTTCCTATAAAGGGCCAGCTAGTCAATAGTTTGGTTTTGCAGGCTATACAGTCTCTGTTGCCACTTTTCAATGTTGCCATTGTGGTGCAAAAGTGGCCACAGACAAATGTCGTGAATGGGCATGGGTGAGTTTCCATAACTCTGTATTAACAAAAACAGGCAGCCGCCAGATTTGGGCTACAGTTGGCCAGCCTCTAGGCTGGAGGACAGTGAGTGGGGAGCAGAGGAGCAGGCGTCTCATTTCATCTTCCTGACTCCTCTCCAAAGAGAATGTCCTCCTCTTCTCCTTATAATACCATGTTCACGCAGCCGTGTGAGTACTTAGGTAAACCTAACTTCCACTAGTCTTTCTTTACCCTTTGGTGGTGAGCTTTTCAAGGGCAGAAACTGCTTCTTACTCATCATTTTATCTCCAACATCTAAGTGATTAAGTAATGTTTGTTGAAGGAATAAATGAACATATGCATGTCAGAATTACAAAATGGCATAGCCGGATTTGGCCTTAAAGAAACTGGTTCAACTCTCTTATTTAACAACGGGGAAACTAAGACCCAGAAAAGGGTGATAGATTGTATTATTTTCCCCAATTTGTTGCACCCCTGTAATTGTGACTTTGCAGGGCCTCTGACTGTGGGCAGAGAATACTTCCTGCTCCACTGATACTATACTTGGCCACGTGGCTTGTTTTATCTAGTGGAGTCTTAGCCTGAAATGGCTTTGTGTGGCTTGCCTTATGAGACAAACCATGAACAGAGCATGCCCGGATGAACCATTTCCTCTTCATCCTGGGCCCCAGAATGGACTCATGGGGAGCAGACCTGAGCCCAAGTAGAAGCCTGGAATCTAACCTGGCTCAGCCTAAATCAACCTGAATTAACCCCAACTGCAGATCTGTGAATAAGAAAATAAATGGTTGGTATGTGAAGTCACTGAGGCTTTGAGGTTATTTGTTACACAGCAATAGCTGACTGATACAGAAGTGAATTAATTCAAGGATACGATAGTGTCACTAAAATTGTTAGTCAAATAATTTTTAGTTAATTGCATATATGTAAATATATTTTTAATGAAACTGCATGTTTATCTACACACACATAGAGATCTTTTAAAATTGGATGTGCTTAAAATGAAATAATGATTATATCAATCACATATTCTAAAAGCTGTATAAACATGACCCCAAAACACAAAATACTAATACAAGCAGAAAATATTACTGTAAGTGGACCCAGATGCAAAATGTCTAAGAAAAGCATACATCTTCAGATGCTTAGGGAGAATGGTGAAAAGGGAAATGTTACTGTACTTGGTGCATTGGAGTTCAATGTGCAAATAGAAAATCACAAACATACAAACACATCCCTACACAAATACACCAGTATGTATGACATCTGAAGGTGTGTGCAAATACGTATGTGCACGTCTACGCAAAGTGTGCTAGACAAGTTAGAAAGACTGTAAAACTATTTCCACTGATCTTGTTTTGTTTGTTTGTTTACAGATATTCAATGCACAGTATATCCAATAAGTAGTTCTGGACTCATCTACTTTTACAGTTATATCATAGACTTGCTCTCTGGCACTGTAAGTATTGAACATAATTCTGTTATTTGTTCAGAAGTCTAATTTAGACATCAGTTTCCTGAATGTCTTCAGTAAGAGCCAAACACAGTGCTGACACAAGCACCAGTGAAAGGAACTGGATTTGCAGTGACCTCATCCACAAGGCTAATGTCCATCCACACCCTGCTAGAACATGCAGGAGATGTGCTGTGTCACTTTCAGCCATTGTCCTCAGCCATTGTCCTTTTCCCAGCCCCTGCCACCTTTCTTATTGACTAGCAACAAAATACTGAGTTCCCTCATAGAAAAATTTCAGTGAAGACCTAACATTTGGGGGTTCTAGGCCATGAGGATAAAAGCTATGGCTCTTCTGTGCAGATTACATGCACGGACATGCCTAGTGCACACATATGCACATATGATCATACATGTGTTTGTGCATGCCACATTTGTATACATGCATACACATTTCCTGCAGTCCCTTAACAGTTTAGTAATCCCAGGTTAACACCCCCTTCTCTACAGTGGTATTAATCTCATCCTTATAGTAGCCCCAAAAGGTTTTCTTTCACCTTCTAAAAAATTATTTTTTGTGAGCTTTCATTTTTTGATGCCGCTTTTTTCAGCAAATACGAGCGCAGCTATGAAAAGTGACCATCTGCCTTTTAGATCGGGGGTTCTTCACCTCAGCACTGTCAGTAATTTAGGCCCCAAAACCCTTTGCCCTGGGGACCTGTCCTGCGCGCTGCAGGGTGCAGGCAGCCTCCGTGGTCTCCGCCCACTAGATGCCAGCTCCACAGCTGTGACAACCACAGTGTCTCCAGACACTGCCTAATGTGTCCTGGGGGACAAAACTGCTCCTAGTTGAGAATCACTCCATTCGATATTTATAGAAATATATTTCTGAAAGTTATCGGTATCAGAATAATATGTCATTGAACTTCCAATTTTCTGAGTAGCTAAATAGAAAGTATTGACTTTGTCTATTGCATTTAATTCTGAAAAAGTGCTTTTTACATTTCCAATGGTTTTCTCAAAACAGCTGAGAGGAATTGTCAGGTGGGTATTGAAATGTTCACTATGTGTAGAGAAAAATTCAGTGACTCGCCCAAGGTCACGCAGCTGGTGAAATCAAAGTGGTACCAAGTCCCAGAACTGCTGTTAGCCCCATTTCTTTTTACATCACCAGGGAGAAATCTGTAGAGCTCCGCACATCATACCCTCCTTCCTTATAGGAAATATTTTATAGGAGACTTAGATGCACCTGATTATCAGTGTTCGGTGAAGTATGTATCACAAAGAACAGCCCTGTTCAAGAGAATTTTCTACAGTGATGAAAATGTCCTAGAACTGTGCTATAAAATGCAATAGCCACTAACTCTTGAGCACTTGAAATGTGGCTAGTGTGACCGAGAGACTGAATTTTAATTTTATTGAAAATTTCAATCTAGGCCCTGGCCAGGTTACTAACTTTGTTATAGTGTAGTCCTGATACACCAAGGTCACGGGTGTATCAGGATCAATCCCCAGTCAAGACACATACAAGAATCAACCAATGAGTGCATAAATAAGTGGAAAAAAACAAATCCCCCTCTCTCTTTCTCTGTCTCTGTGTGTGTGTGTCTCTCTCTCAAATCAATGAATACAAAAATTTAAGTTTAAATTGGCCTTAGAGATAGCCAGCGAGAGCTAACAGTGATTTGTTTGTATTGAAAACAATTGAGCCAAGCTCATTATAAAATCAGAAAAATGATTTCCCTGGCCCAGTGACTCTTTACCCTAAAATGTTAAACGATTTTGAGGGAGAGATTAATGGCAACCCTGATATCAACCCTAGGTAAATATAAACAGGTTTCGTGTCATTGGGCAGGTTTTTATGGCCTATGAACCCCGCCTCTAGGAGAGTTAAAAAGAAGATGGAGTATTCTGTTTCTACATTTTTTTCTGTTAAAAATTTTACTTAGTTAATGTAAGAATACATGGTTGTCATATAGAGCAAAACATGAAAGTACCCCTCTCCAGAGGTCACTGAATCTTGAACACTAAGGTTCATAGCCTTCTTGCCCTTTCTCATGCATGTATAGGGGCTTGCTTAATCTTTTAGAATATGGATTATTCATGCTGTAGCCAGGGCCCTGTTGATGGGCATTCAGGTTGCCTCCAACAACGCTGTGGTGAACTTCCCTGTGCTGCCTGTACCGCTGCTTCTGTGTATGTTCTCTTCGAACTCTCCTGGAATTTTCCTGCCACCCACGGAGGAATCTGAGATGATCAGTTACTCTTTCCATAAGAAGTCGGGGACTGTTCTGTGCTCTGTGTTGACACAGGTCACTTTTTCCCTTATTTTGTTGCAAACAGCTTTATTGAAATATAATTTACCTCATATAATTCACCCATTTAAAGGGTTCAGTTCAGTAGTTGTTAGTGTATTCACCGAGTTGTATAATCATTACCACAATCGATTTTATATTTCATCACCTCAGAAAGGAATGTCATACCTTTTAGTTATGACTTCCCAATCCACCTTATTAGCCCTAAACAACCATTAATCTACTTTATGTCTCCATGGTACGCTTACTCTAAGACATTAAATGTCTTATATGACATTTCATACAAATGGAATCTCATAATATGTGGTCTGTGGTCTCTGGCTTCTTTCACTTGACACATTGTTAAGGTTCATCCATGTTGTAGCATCTATCAGTCTTTCATTCCTTGTTATGGCCAAGTGCGGTTCCATCGTATGGAGTAACACATTTTGTTCATTCATTCACGGTGGACACTTGGGTTGTGTCCACCTTTTGGCTATTGTGAATAATGCTGTGATGAACATTCACGTGTGAGATTTTTGTGTGGAGGTACATTTTCATTTCTTTGGGGGTATATACCTAAGAGTGGAATCACTGGGCCAAATGGTAACCCTGTCTCTGATTTTGAGGAAATTCTAGCCTTCCGAAGTGGCTGCACAATTTTATATTCTCACCAGCACTGTGTGAGGCTTCCAGTGTCCCCACATTCTTGTCAATGACTAATGAGTTGAGCATCTTTTCATATGCTTATGGCCATTTGCATATCTTCTTTGATTAAATGTCTCCTTGGATTCTCTTTGTTTTTAATTGAATTATATGTCTTTTTATTGTTGAGTTGTAAGAGTTTTTTATGTATTCTATATACAAGTATCTTATCAGATATATAATTTAAAAGCAATTTTTCCTATTCTCTGGATTGTCTCTTCACTTTCTTGATAGTGTGCTTGGAAGCACAAAAGTTTAAATTCTGATAGAGTCCAATTTATTTTTTCTTTTATTGCTATTATTTCTTTTGGGATCATATCTTAGGTTCCATTGCCAAACCCAAGGTCATGAAGATTTAGTCCTCTATTTTTTTTTCCTAAAAGTTGTATAGTTTTGGCTCTTACATTTTGGTCTTTCATCTGCTTTAAGTTAACTCTTATATATGGTGTAAGACAGGGGTTCACATTTTGTTTTTGCTTTTTGTGGGGTTTTTTTGCATGTAGCTATCCAGTTGTCTCAGCACCATTTCTGGAAAAGACTATATTCTTTTCCCTTATCAAAAAGCAATTAATTGTAAACATATGCATTTATTTTTAGACTAATTTCCCATTTATCTGTATGTCTATTCTTATGTTAATACCTCAGTGTCTTGATTACTATTGTTTTGCAGCAAATTTTGAAACTGGAATGTGTGAGTCCGCAAATAAAAGAACAACTTTGTTCTTTTATTTTCAATATCTTTTTTGGCCATTCGGGGGCCCTTTCAGTTCCATATGAACTAGAGGATTAGCTTGTCACTTTCTACAAAGAAGCCCAATGGGATTCTGATAGAGATGTTGAAACTGTAGATTAGTTTGGGGAGCATTGCCATGGATTTCCTGATCCATTAACATGGGGTGTTTTTCCATTAATTTAGATCTTCTTGAATTATATAAACAATGTTTTATAGCTTTAAGAATACTAGATTTAAAGCCCTGGCTGGTGTAGCTCAGTGGATTGAGCACGGGCTTGCGAACCAGACAATCGCGGTTCGATTCCCAGTCAGGGCACATGCCTGGGTTGCAGGCCAGTTCCCTGCAGGCCAATTCCCAGCAGGGGACGCATGAAAGGCAACCATACATTGATGTTTCTCTCCCTCTCTCCTTCCCTTCCCCTCTAAAGATAAATAAATAAAATCTTTAAAAAAAAAAAAAAAAAAAAAAGAATACTAGATTTAGCCTTGGCTGGATAGCTCGGTTGGTTGGAGCATCGTCCTTATATGTCAAGATTGTGGGTTTGATCCCTGGCCAAGACACATACAGGAAGCAACCACTGAATGCATAAATAACTGGAATAACAAACTGATGTTTCTCTCTCTCTCTTCCCCCTCCCTCTCTCTAAAATTGGTAGATAAAATAAAAGACAATAAGATTTACATTTCAGTTAAATCTATTCCTAGGTATGTTATTTTTTGCTGTTACTGCACATGGAATTGTTTTCTTAATTTTATTTTTGGATAATAGACCTGTGTATTTTTAATGCTGAGGTTTTTATTCCTGCCTTCTTTATTTCTTAAGCACTAAGTATTCATTATACCTCTGGGATTGTTCTAGTGTCTGGGGATTCAGGGGCAAATAATAAGGACACTAGAATGTGAGTTCTTGGTCTCCTGGTTCTTTGCAGTGAACTTACCGGTCTAACCTCATGCCTGTGACTTTTTTCAGGGTTTCTTGGAGGATACCTGCCTGTTTTATGGACATTACACCATTGATGGGGTAAAATTTCAGAATTTCACGTATGATCTTCCTCTGGCTTATTTATTAAGCACAATTGCCTACCTGGCACTGAGCCTTCTTTGGATAGTGAAAAGGTAAATTTTCTTATCATTGTGTTCTCTTTGAATTATCCTGCTGGCTGGAGTTTATTGGAGGGTGAGCAGAGTCCAGGGGTGGGGGAAAGATCTGTGAGTGTTTTGAAGACTGTGGAAACCTGGAGGCAATGGAGGCAGGATTTTGTAGCTGGAGGACCAGCCCAGAGATCTTTACTCAACCATTATTATGCACATTTGCCCAACCTTATCTTTCATCTGGTGTGTATGTTAACCAAGTCTCTCCTGGATTTTGAATGGCAGAAACCCAGTTCTGACTAACTGGGGCAAAGGGGAATTGAGTGGCTCAGAGAAACAAGGAAGGGAGGAAATTCCAACTACAGGAAGGACAAGGATAAAGATATGGCTTTAAAATACTCGAAAGCAAGAACTCCTTCGTCTCTGATTCCCTTGGTGGTGGCTTCCTCATGTGGACTTTCTGGGTCATGGGTTCAGAAATCCTTTGAAGAGATTAGTTAGCTCTGCTACATTTTGGTACCCAACCCTGACCCTTTAGCTGTGGCCAGTTGGTTAGGGTCACATGAGAACCTTGCATTTCTCCAGTGGACAAGTGGTTTAGTAGGGGTATCAATTCCCAAGAAAAGAAAAATGAGGAATATTAATTAATTACTAACAAAGAACTTCCCCCAAAAGTACAATGACCCAAATACGATAGAAATTGTGTATCTTTCTAACATGAAGTTCCGAGTGAGGCACAGGTTAGTGTGGTAGACATTTTCTCAGCCATTGTGGGATTCAAGTGCACCAAAGTTCAGCCACCTTCAGCATGCAGCTTTGAAGTTCCTTGAGAGCTGAGAGTGACCATAGAGGAGTATCCTGTGGACAGTGTTTACCAGCTAGGCCTAAAGTGATCACTCATATCACATCACTCATATTCCATTGACTACAGCTTAGCCACATGACCACAGCCAACTGCAAGGGAGTCTGGGAAATGTCATCCCTGGCTGACAGCCACTTCCCAGTACTAACACTATACTGTAGAAGGGGAAACACAAATATCTGATGGACAGCTTTCTGTCTTTGCCTCATGGGCACCTCTCTTACCCAAATCACTGTCACGTGAGAACAGGAACAGTGCTATAAACCAGGGGGCAGTGAAGCTCCATATCACAGGAGTAGGAGAGACCAAGATGTTGGGGCCTGGATTTACCCTCCATGGGGACCAGGGATTACCACTGTGCAGAAAGCCCCAGAGCCCAGCTGGGCATTCATATCTTGAGTCAGAAGCTATGACATGAAAGTTACCTGGCATGTGTCCAATCCCCATCCACATGGGCAGTGTATGGACAAGAAGGAGCAGTGACTTGTTCTGAGGGGCAGAGAGATGCTTGGTAAAGAAATATTGGTTGATTGGGGTTCTGGCTTTGCTGTTTTGTAATGGTAGACAATTTGGAGTGTCACAGGTGGGCACAGGTAACCAGGTTCTTGGTGATCGGGACAAAGAATTGAACCGAACACTTAGAGTTTATAGCAGAAAACATGGGAGCAGGCCAACTCCAAGCAGAGATAGACCTCATGGGCTGGAGGGATCCTATTCTAATAGGGTGGATCCTTCCTGGCTAGTTTTGGTGGACTTTTAGTGCACGTGTGCAAGGAGTTGTATTACCTTAAAGCTACTGCACATGTGGTCTCCCATGGTTTTCCCTGATTGGCTGCCGGGGAAGGGCGTCCCACAATGTTACTGAATGGACCCCCCTTCTCCTGGAGTCCCCTGCACTAAGTTCACTTTGTCCCTCACCAGAGAATTATAGCTCTCCATGTTAGAGATTGGTGAAAAGGAAAGGAATTATTTATTTAAGTTATATAGACTTAAGAGTAAGAGTAATAACTTAATGTCTTCATCAAAATCCCAAAGTCCCTTAAAACACCCACAAACACATACAGTCATTCCTTTCCCCCCCTTTTGCCTGGTCTGGGGTACCATATCTCTGGAAAAGAAGTAGAAGTCCATGGCTCAGGCAGCCCCCCGGTTCTTCCCAGGAATCTGTGCTGGACTGGCAGGCCTCCCTCGGTTCCCAGAACCATCAGCTGTGTCACCAGGATCTCCAGTTCTTAATCTAAAACCACATAGCTCCTTCTCATGGTGCACTAGCAAGAGTCCTTTCAACGCCTTCCTTCCCGCAGCTTCTCTCCTGCATTCTTCCGAATTGCTAAGAGAGAGCTCTGCATCACTGCTACATCTTGCTTTCCAGATTCCTAAGCTATGTGGCAAAGGGAGACCCAAAGCCATGTGATTCTTCCCTGCCAAAGCTGAGTGATGGTTCTCTGCCAAAGCCACATGGTGATTCTTGTCATGGCTGCCACGCCTGGGTTTAAATTCCAGTGCTAATCTTCCTCTGAAGCCCCATATCAGACTCCTCCCACAATCGGCCACACTTGCCAACACTCCCATATTTTCCAGCTTTTCTTGGCTGCCATGGTTAAGTCTGGGCAGGTGTAACCCCATGGCATGGAGCCAATCATCTCCAAGCTCTCACGCAAGCTCTGTAACCAGGGGGAGTTGCCGCCCAGTTACATCCTGGGTGGAAGTCACTCCCCTTCTCCCTGACTCGAAGCACAGCCACAGCTATTTAACGTATCTATGAAACCAGATAAGGTTATAGGTGTGTTAAATGACCATTCTGGAGGTTATCTGCAAAACTGTTGCTATACAAAACAACTCAATGGCCCTGCTCCATGTGTCCCATTCCCCAGCTCAGACTTGTGGGGGCGAGGACATCCCATACTTTTAATATTTCCTGGACACCCTGAGTTCTGGATCCCATTACAAATCCTTCCTTTGGGCCCTCCCCCTGGCTGCACCCTCTTACAGGAGGAGCCCTCTTTAAGACAAAAAATGCGAGGGACTGCCACTAAGATGGAGGTGTAGGTGGAAGCACTGCACCTTCTCACACAACTAAGTTTAAAAACAACAAAGTTTTAGCAACAAAAACGCAGCCAAACCACAGAAAATTGAACTACATGGAAGTCTGACAACAACGAACTCTTCAGCCAAACTGGTAAGAGGGGCAGAGCCAGCTGCAGAGTGGGGTCGGGCAGGAAAGATCCACCGAACAGACCCGGGCTCGTGACCCAGGTGTGCCAGCAGCCGTGGACGGATCCCAGGTGCGAAGAAGCGGGCGGACCCACTGAGGACTGATCCTGGTGACACATTTGCATGCAGATAAACCAGTGAAGGAGCTAGCAGTGAGATGGACCTCAAAGGCCCCAGCGGCAGGAAGCGGCAGAGGGAACCACCATTTTCCCTCTCCACGCCCGCCCCCACATACGGCGTCACAAACCAGCGACACAAACCAGCGACCTAGGTGGCCCTGCCCTGGTGAACATGTAAGGCTCCGCTCCTCATACATACAACAGGCACAAACAGATCAAAACATGGCTCAAGACATGGCTCAAGAACAACTCAGAGCCCCAGAGCCGATAAATCTAAGCTAAGAAGAAATAGCCAAACTTTCAGATGCACAGTTCAGAACACTGGTGATTAGGATGCTCACAGAACTGGTTGATTTTAGTCACAAATTAGAGGAACAAATGAAGGCTAAACTAATTGAAATGAATGGAAATACACAGGAAACCAATAGTAATGGAAAGGAAACTGGGACTCAAATCAAAGGAGTGGAACAGAAGGAGGAAAAAAATGACCAAACAGAAAAGGATGAAGAAACAAGAATTCAGAAAAAGGAGGAGAGACTTAGGAACCTCCAGGACATCTTTAAACGCTCCAACATCTGAATTACAGGGGTACCAGAGGGGAAGAGGAACAGCAACAAGTGGAAAACAGTAATTTCCCCTCCAGATCTTGCTCAAGTTCCTCACTTCCGGGCCTTGATTGCTCCCTGGAGAAGACTGGAGGGAGAACGGGGTGGGATGTGATGGGGAAGGTCCACCCCTGGAGAAGGAGGTGCAGAGTGGCAAAGATCGTGGACTTGGAGGTTCCAAGACCGAGATTGGAAGGTCACTTCACCTTTTTAAACTCATTTTTTTCACCTATGAAATGTGCACACTTGGTTGTTGGAAGGATGCACTGAAACAAGACAGGTAAGGAACTCGGCACTGGGCCTGACACCTGGTAAACTTTAGCAAACTGAAATCATCATCATAAGCTGGCCTCTGTTCTGCCACTAACTCTCTGATTCTAGGGAAATAATTTTCTCTAGATCTTAGCTTTCTCATCTGTTAAGTGTAGGTTTGGTCTAAATCAGTGGGACTGTTACCGAGCAGAGGTCCAAGGGGGGCAATATTTGGCCCACCCAGGGATGCCAAAAAAACTGTTACAGAACAGATACGCCAGGGCCCCGGACTCCAGAGGATGGTATAGTAATACCGTCCGGACCCTGATACTGGGCCTGCTCTTCGGTCGCCATTTGGAAAGACATCTCTCAATGCCAGAGATTTGTGAAAAGTAACGAAATGTTTATTTAATGCTATTCAGACCTAACGCCTTCATTAAAATATCAAAGTCCTTTAGGGTATACACCTACACACACACACACACACCTACACACACACACACACACACAGCGCTCCCTTCTCCTCCTGTCCTAACCCCGGGTACCGTAAATCAGGAAAAGAGCACACGTCCATTTTTTCCAGGCCGCTGGTACCGTCAGCTGTGTTGATGTCCAGGCAGGATCTCCAATTAATCCAAAGTTATGCGGCACCTTCCACTGGCAAGAGTTCTTCGTACCAATTTTTCCAGTCAAAGACTCTCCTGCTTTCCAGGCCACACAGCCAAAGGGAGCACCCCAAAGCTGTGTGGGCCTCTTCTACCAAAGTTGCAGGGTCCACACTCCACCAAAAGCGCGTGTCTTTCTTCTTCACCTGGCTGCAGGGATCTCCATTTTGGCAAAGTTGCGTGGTTTTCCCTTTCACCTGGGAAAGAGGGGGTCCTCACTCTGCCAAAACCGCATGGCTCTCTCCCCAGTGGCTGCTGTGTCTGGGTTTAAATCCCCGCACCCATCTTCCTCTGTACCCCTATTTCTGACTCTTCCCATGATCAGTTACACCTGCCAGTATTTCTGTATTATTACAAGTTTACTGGGCTGCAATCGTGAGTCTGGGCAGGTATCGCCCCATATCATAGAGTCAATCTTCTCCAAGCTCCCATGCAGGTGCTGTAACTCAGGGGACCTGCCCCCTATTTAGATCTTGGGGGGAGTGACTCCAGCCCCCTGGCTCCAAGCCTGGCCACAGCCATTTAACATATCCAAGTGACCCACCAAAGGCTACAGATACGTTAAATGACCATGCCATGGATTAGCTGCAAGGCTGTGGCTGTACAAAACAGCCCTGCTTGTTCCTGCTCCATGTGTCCCTTCCCCCAACTCACACCTGTGGGGGAAGGGGTGAGGACATCTTATATGTCTCTCCAATATTTCTATACACCCTGAGCTCTGGACACCATTCCAAATCCTCCTCGGGTCGCCTTTGGGCCATTCCTCCCCCCAGCTCCCTCTGGCTGCACCCTGTATCAGGACTGGGGTGGGACTTCATGGAGCTTTATAAAATAACACATTTCTGGACCCCACACGAGACCTACTGACGGAAAATCCCAGGGTATGAACCCACCTGGGAGTCTATGTTTTAGAAAAGTACCCAGATGGTTCTGACATAAATTCTTTGCTGTGAACTTTTGGCAGAGTGACTGATCTCTGTAATTCCTTCCACTTTTCATTGTCTTCACAACTCACTGGCAAATCCTAAAGACACCCTGTTTCATCTACAGTGTGTGGCATTTGATGTATATGTATCATCAAGTACCAGGATGTTTTTCATAAAAGCATTTGAGTAACAATTATGAAGTGTGCAAGAGTTGCAGCTGAAAGGTGCTCACTAATGAGGATAATTTACTATTTAAAGTCACTTACCTCGATTCATTTATCCATCAGTTGGGTAGTGGCCATATTATGGTCCAGAGATTCTGGACAGAAAGGTGGCAAGGCCGCTAGTGTTTCTGCCCTTGAGGAATGTAAATTTTAGTCGGGATCAGGGATAATGAGCAGTAAACAGATGAGTAAAACAATTGCAGTTTAGGTTCACTGCTGTGAAGGAAATGAAAGACTAGCTTGAAGTGGGGGTTACAACTTTAGAGGGGGTGGTGGGGAACCCACCGAGGGGCTATTCGAGTTGAAACCTGAAAGATGGGAATGAGGCCGGCATGGAAGAGGCAGGGGAGGAACTGTCGCAGAAGGAGGGCAACAGGAACTGCAAGTACAAAGGCCTTGAGGCAGAAGCAGAGGTTTGTGTGTCTATGAAAAGGAAAAAAGGCCAGTGTAGTATCGGCAGGGTGGGTATATGGGAAGCAAGATCATGTAGAACCTCTAGGCTTTGTTCAAGAGTTTGGGCTTTATGCTAGCTGTGAGAAGAGCCATTAGATGGATGAAAGGGAATAATTTTCACCGGTGAGATGCCTGATCAGCTGCCACATATATTTAGGATGGTCCAAAACTTGACCATGTCAAAATGGGTGGGAAATGCAGCCATGAGTAACTTTTATTCTAGACAAAGCCAGTGGGCCTCTATTTTGTTGCTGTTCTTACAAGAAGCATAATTATTTTGGGGGGTCAGGTCAGTGGAAGGGTTCAAAATCAACCTGATCCGAAGTGAGGAGCACTTCCAGAGTTACTGCAACAAGATCTTTGCCGGCTGGGACTTCTGCATCACCAACAGCAGCATGGCGAACCTGAAGCACAGCAGCCTGCGGTATGAGCTCCGAGTGAGTGCTGCTGGGTTTTCTCTTGGTGGCTTCCTTGCCAGCAAGCCTGTGCCTTGGGAGGCCAGGTTGCAGCTTGCAGAGAAGCGAGGGGTGGGGGGCCAGGCTGCATCCGGTGCTTAGCAAGTTTCCTCTCTGTAGTTTTCAAGAGCTTTTCTCAGAGAACAGCTTTCTTGGGCTGTTCTTTGATCGCCTTGGGCCCAAGCTTGGAGCTGGTGAACTGGGGCTAGGAAGGGGGGTGGGGACACAACAGCCAGTGGGGGGAGGTAGTGTCAACCCCTCTCTCCTTGCCACCTTTATCTTTTCTCTTCATGAGAAGCCCTCATAAACACAGCTTACGCCTGGAGAAACAGGACTAAGGGTGGGAAGCTATGATGATAAAGTGGTGTGGCATGAATATAAAAAGTAGAAGAAAATTTATACATTAATAAGGAGAGAAGGAGGAATAAATAGCATTGTGATCAATCCTACTCCCCCCAAAAGGAGGAGGAGACAATTTTATCAATGAGTAATAAAATAAGATGGGAGAAATCAAATCAAATCTATTATTTTTACACTAAATACAAGCAGAATGAATCCTCCTATTACAAGCAGAGAAAGGTTGAGTTAAAAAGCAAAAAACACCCACCTTATATACTGTTTCAAGAAATAACATATGGAATGTTACATGTATGTAACATACATGTATAATGTGCACCTATGTTTTTGGCCAAAACTTTCAGAGGGAGGAAACTTGCATTTTAATTTTTTAATACAATTATTTATTTATATTTAGAAACAAAACTGATTATTGTATTCCAGGGTATTATTTTGCATACAGATATCATTCTAGAGTTATACTTTTAATGTATAAGCATAAATAAGAGAATTAAAAACAGTTACATAGATACAGAATTTGTAATACCCAAATATAATGTGCATCCTTATTTTTCCCTCAAAAATTTTGGCAAAAAAGTGCACATTGTACATGGCAAAAATACAGTTATGTCAAGAATAGGTTAATTGTTCTGTTTTCACATTTATTGCAAAGTCTAATTGCAGTCTTAAATAGGATATTCTCCCTTGACTTTGGCCTTTAGTAGGCATGAAAATCAGTTGGACTTCCCTTCAGCCCTCTGTTCAGAAATGAATTTCTTTGCTCCTCAGGCAGATCTGGAAGAAGAAAGAATACGACAGAAAATAGCGGAAAGGACCTCTGAAGAAACAATACGGATTTACTCTCTGAGACTGTTTTTGAACTGTATTGTTCTGGCTGTTTTAGCGGCATGCTTTTATGCAATCTATAGAGCAACTATATTCTCGCAAGAACACATGAAAAAAGTAAGGACTCCCCCAAAGTCAATTGCACTTTTACTCTGGTTGGACATTATGCTAAATAGCCTTGCAAAGCTCTGAGGCAGATACCATCATCATTTCTGTTTTACACGTGGGGATATAAATGTGGCTAACGTGACAGAGGACCAGAAATCAAAGGCAACCAATTTCCACTTTTAATAGAAATGAAAAGCATCCAAGATAGAATGTTTGGGGTACCTACTCTCCCTGGAATTCACAATGTTTAAATCCAGCTGGACTGCCTGATTTAATCCCCAACTCCTCTACTTACTGTTAGGGGCCTCCGTTTACCTAGAGTAACAGTGGCTTTAAAAACTCAAGTTGGTCTAGTGGCTCTGCTTCATGAAATCAGTCACCAGAGGCCCAGATTCCTTCTGTCCTGAGGCTCTGCCATCCTTAGGTGTGGCCCTCTTCTCTATGAGACGTGAAAGCTTACCGCATAGCCAATGGGAGGGAGAGGAGGAGAGCACACCCCCTTCCTTCAAGGTCACGACCTGGAGGTTGCATTTAAAAGTTCCACTGACATCCTCTTGGCCAGAATTTAGTCAGATGGCTGTACCTAGTTACAAAGGACGCTGGGAAACTTGGTTTCATCCTGGAGAGCCATGTGTGTGTCTGTTACTAAAGAAGGAGAGAATGGCTATTCTAAGTCACTATTACAGCCTTAAAAAATATGTTGCCCAAAGATACAGAAACATGGATTATTTTTTACACCTCACCTAAGTGAATCCAGTAGAGCTCATTTTTCTTCTAGCATGGTGCTAGATCATGTTTCCTCCATTCGAATGCCCACAGAAAGAGGTAGCTTATGTTTAAGGTCCTTGGAAGTAGCATGTGTGTTTTGTTTTGTTTGTTTGCTATTAAACATGTACAGTTGAGAGTTTTTCCAGTTTATTGAGATATAGTTGACATATGACACTGTGTAATTTTGAAAGTATACAGCCTAATATGTATAGTTGAGTTCTTTTAAGATCAACTTATTTGTGATGCAATTTTCCATGTTACACTTCTGAGCAGTTTTGTTATCTTCATAGGAAATTGACAAGATGGTTTTTGGAGAGAACCTCTTGATATTGTACCTGCCTTCTATTGTGATCACTCTGGCCAACTTTATCACTCCAGTGATCTTTGCCAAGATCATCCACTATGAGGATTATTCCCCAGGCTTTGAGATCCGGCTGACAATCCTTAGGTAATGTCTAGACATGCCAAGCAGATCACCACTTGTACACTCTCTTGCCCATGGTAGACATTGCTAATCAACTGTGACACATTTTCCTGCTAAGCCAAGAATCCTCTTCAACGTTCAGACAGCCCCCATGAATGAATCAGAGTTAGCACATGCAGTGTAATCTCTTTGATTTAAGAGTCTACTCATTATTGTTATATTTTTGGTTCCTGTATTAGCACATCGACATCTGAGGGTGAAGGGTGGGGCCTTAGGAGGAGGAGTTGCTCTGAAGATGTTACGAATGACAAGAGGGGGTGAAGAGGTGAAAGAGAGGAGAGGCAGCTGATAGGGTGTGTTATGGGGCCAGCTGCTTCTGCTGACAACCGGGGCTCAGTCCTACTGCGTAACTCTGGGAGTTTGTGCAGTAAATACCTTCTCCCTTCCTCAACAAGCCAGGTATTTTGCCTCTGCCACCTAAGGGTGGCTGGCTCCCAGAGGCATTAACTCCTCACACTTCCACCCCCCTAACCCCACGCGTGGACCTTGGGTGGAGAGTGACAGTGCCTTGCAGGAGGAACCTGAGGCATTGGTTGGAATAGTAAGTGCTGAGAAAATGTGGCCACATTGTGCACTACAACTGACTTTTATAAATTGTTGTAATATCTCTTCTCGTTTTAAATAAATAGTTTAATTTTTTAAAATGACAGGTCTAAAGCAGGATGTAGGAAGTTAACACAAATGGGTTGAAGAAAACTGGGTGGGGGCTGAGTGAAATGATCATTGTTGGTTGGTTCGCAAGTGCCTCAGATTACATTTAAGTCTTTTAAAAAATATTTTTACTTTGGAAATTTTCAGATAGAATAAATAGTATGATGAACCCCCTGTGCCCATCACTGAGTTCCCATCACCAACATTTTGTTCGTCTTGTTTTGTCTATCTATCTCCGCTCTGTTGCTGGTTGATTTAAGCTAATCTCAGGCAACATGTCATTCCACCAGTAGCATATTTCTAAGTGACGAGGATGGTTTTTAAAATATAACCATCGTGACCCCTACTACAATTAAGATGTTTTCCCTGATGGACCTGGAGATGGCTGTGTATGATTGGTTTGCTGGGACCGGGACACAGCAACAGCCGGGTGCCCACCGGGGGGGAAAGGGCTGGAGGGAGGCAGGAGAGGGCAAAATGGGGGTGGGGGGGCTGGACTTGGGGTGGTGAACACCCGACACCAAGTACAGATGACGTGCTGTAGAATTGTGTGCCCCTTTTACTCTTTAAACAATTCTCCTTCCCCTTGTGTTATGCCCTTGATTTGTGGGAGAAACTGGGGCATTTGTCCCCTAGTCTGTTTTAGTTCATTGTTTTTTCATGGTGTGATTTTGTTTTACTATACCCATAGCTGTGATAAACTACCGTGTATTCAAACTTTTATGTTATGTTATGCTTGTTACAGTTTTTAGCTATAGAAGCCTCCTCGGCGGTGGTGGGTCCGCCTCCCACCACGGGCACACAGTGTCAGGTGGCACACGGTGTCAGGCGGCACACGGTGTCAGGCGGCACACGGGGTCAGGCGGCACACGGTGTCAGGCGGCACACTGAGTGAAAGAAGAGAAGAGTAAGCTGATCAGCAGTGTGGACTTCTGCTCTTTTCTACTGTTCACTTTTTAATGTTTTCATTACAATCCAAATAATAGGAAAGCACCTTTTTTAAAAAAGTAGCGCTCTCTCCCCTCCTCTCTTACATCCAGCTTCCTCAGACAGCCCTCCTCTGCACAGTTAATGTGGCTCACGCCAACATCCACACATTTTCTTTTAAAAATAGATTCATGTCTACACGAGACTCTGCGATGTGTTTTATTCACTTCTCAATATATCAGGCATCTCTCAAAGCTGATGCTTCTAAGATTCAATGAGCCCTTTCAGAAATGCGTCATGTTCTGTGAAGTGGCTGTAATACCATAGATTCTGGAGTTCCCAGCTTTCTTATCCTTTTTTTCTGCCATTTAAAAAACTGTGGTGATATATAGGCATAAAATTTGCTATTTTTAACTGTGTGACTCACTGGCATTATGTACATTCCCAGTGTTGAGCCACCATCACCACCACGCTTTTCCAAAACGTGGTTGTCCTCCCAAACAGAAACTCTACCCATTCGTGAGTTTGCTTTTATGAAAGGCAGTTCCCCGCTCCCCAGCCTTTGTTCCGAGGGCCCAGCCTGCCACAGAGCCTCCTCTCCTCTTCCTCTCTCCTCCCTCTCGTCCTGCAGGTGTGTCTTCATGCGGCTGGCCACCATCTGTGTGCTGGTGTTCACCCTGGGTTCCAAGATTACATCCTGTGACAACTACTCATGCGAGCTCTGTGGCTACAACCAGAACCTCTACCCGGTGAGGCTGGGGAAATGGGAGCATCCGGCTGAGTGGGTCATTTTGGAGTAACAGGTCCCAGGTGGAGAGAACAGCCTTGAAGCCATGAGTCTGAGTCGCAGCTGGTCTGCTACTGTGTGCCAGAGTCTGGCACGCCAGACACTTCTCAGTGCTTGAAAACCAAAGTTGGTGCTGGAGCTCAGAGGGTCATCAGCTGACGGCCTCCAGAGGCAGCAGGATCTGGAGACTGGACGGACATTGGGAGGGGTCTGAGAACCTGGCTTTCTCTTCCCTGAGTCGGGCCTCATTATCTCTCCCTGTCTTTGGTTTCAGTGCTGGGAGACCCAAGTTGGGCAGGAAATGTACAAGCTGATGATATTTGACCTCATCATTATCTTGGCTGTGACACTTTTTGTGGATTTTCCTAGAAAGTAAGTGTGAGGGTTAATCCCTCTTATCTCCCCTACACATTCCACCCCTGCCCCAGCTGGGGGACCCCCTCACAGCTGCTCTCCATAAAGCGCTGGATGATTCCACAGTCCCTGGAAACCACTGACAGCCGTCCAGTGACCTTCAAACAGCTCCAGGCCATCAACCCCACAGTCCATTAGCCGGCCCCAAAAGACAGCATGAGGAGTGGAAATGGCACTGCTTTCCCTGAGGTTTCTATGGAGATGGCTTCCTGCCATCAGCAAGGGCCTCAGTGGATACCACATTTCTTGATTTGGGTTCAAACCCCAGCACTACCACTTGCTAGTCATGTGACCTTGGACCGGTATTTTAAGGTCTGTGCTTATTTTCCCCCCTGTGAAATGGGGACATAGCAGTACCCACCTCAGAGCACCATTGTGAGGATTAAATGAGAAAATGCAAATAAAAGTACTAGGAACACGCCATGCTTCAAAACTCAGCAAAATGTTAACTGTCACCTTTATCATTACTATGCTGTCATATTTTTTATTATTCTCAGCATCTCCTCAAGCCTGAAGGGAAAACACTGTTTACTTAAGGACTTTTTTGCCCAGATGTACAAATTCTGTAATCATGTCAGAGGTCTAGTATGCCCTTAAAGATAAACATTAAAAAAGAAACTTTCTTTAAAAAACTTATACAAATATAACATGAACACGTGCTTATTGAACATTTTAAAATATTTAAAATTTAAGTAAATACAGAAGTATGGCAAATAGTGGGAGTTCTTGTTTGTTACCTTTCCCTTCCACTCCCCAGTCCCAGCCCCGTCCTCAGACATGGCCACGGTTAGTACTTCGGGGAAGATCCCCCAGTCCTTAAAAATAAAAAGACTCATTTGCATAAATACATCTATAAATAGATACAGTCTTACTAGAAGTGTTCATTCTCCCCCTTAAATGGGATCATGGTACATCTGTATTGGTCCGCCGCTTGCTTTTTGTCCCATACAAACAAAATACCATGCACTTTCGATGGGAGGACACGTGGGTTTTCCTCATTTATTTTAAGGACCGTGTAATATTCCACTGTGTCCGTGGCTTATACTTTGTCAATCCGGCCCCTACTTGTGAGCATTCAGGTTGTTTCCAGTACTTTTGCTAATACATGGAGATGCTGTAGTGAAGAATTGCTGTGTGTTTGTCGCAGGCCCTTGGTCCTAGGCCGTCTGTAGGAAGCTTGTAGGATTCCAGCCTGCTGGGTGACAGGGTCCTCCTAAACCATTTTGCGTGTGGGTGCACATGACTTTGTGGGCTGAGTGGCAAGCCAGAGCACAGATGTTGTTTATTGTCACCTCAACCCTGTGGACTAAATTGACTTTTAATCTCCCCATACTCCAGATGAGAAAAATAAACCTCGTCTAAATTTATTTGGCTGGTCAGTTGTAGATCTGAGACTCACATCCTACTCTTCAAGGTTCCACAATTCACTGTCTTTTGAATCTTCTAGACTTGTGACTAACCCGTTTCCATGAGAGACCTGTGTGGAAACAGCCCCAGCTTTTGTGGACATGGTTCTGTGACCTTGGCCGACACCAGTGGTCCAAGTGAGAAATTGCCCCCTTTGTTTCCAGGCTCCTGGTGACCTACTGTTCCTCCTGGAAGCTGATACAGTGCTGGGGACAGCAGGAATTTGCCATTCCTGATAACGTTCTGGGAATCGTTTATGGGCAAACCATTTGCTGGATCGGAGCCTTTTTCTCCCCTCTTCTCCCTGCCATTGCAACCCTGAAATTCATCATCATCTTTTATGTGAAAGAGGTAAGGAGAGGTGGGGAGGGTGGGCTGGTGCCCTGCACTGCTCTTGACCTTGTATGGTATTCTGCATGCATGTTTGGAGCTCACCCACATTCTGTCAGATGTATCAAAATTATACCCCTTATTTGATCTGTATTTTTATTCTAGAAAAAAGATGTTCATGTTTTTATAATTTTGAGAGTTTTGTTAAGCATTGTTTTGCTCCTATGATTTAAATATCATTTTTCTATGTAACTGTCAAAGAGATGAATTGCAATTAATCGATCAGTAGACAGTGGTACATTTTGGTAATGTTTAACAAGTGTTTATTAATTTAAATTTTGTGATTTTCTGTTTGGATTTTGGAGCCAGTGAATTTATTTTCAGGCTTCAATTATTTGTGTAGGTCCTTGAACAGCTCACAGGCCCCAGGCATCGTGCTTGGACCAAGTGCCCAGGGGGTGAAGCGGCCCTGCAGGTCACTAACATATCTGGGCTTATGAACAAAACTTTTTTTCTTTATTATAGAGACAATGTATGCTTAATATTAAACACTTAAACAATACAGATATGTATACAGTAACTCTCATCCCCTCTTCCAGAGGTACCTTCTGCTAACAAGCCAAACATTTATCGATTACCTCTTATGCCAAGACCTGAGGATTCAGAAATGAACATGATAATAGTATTCATAATAATGACAATAGTAATAGCAAGTGGTAATAATACCATGTGCCCCCACTCTGCTGAATGCCTAGGAAGCTGAAGTTCAGAAAGGTTAAGTAACTGGGCCAAGGTCACACAGCTGATAAGTGACTCCTGGGATTTGAATCCAGGTTTATCTTCTCAAGAGCCACTTAACCTGATAAGTAGGGCCTTGCATTGGACCAAACTTTCCATCTGAATGTTTTGGCATCTGAAGAATGCTTTCATTGCCTAAAGTCACCAAAGGAGAAATGGAGAAGAAAAAGCCTATAGGAACTTTTTTCTTTCCAGAAAATATTGGTTGGCCAGTGTCTTCCCAGTGTGTAGCCTAGTAAAGACAGCCTGGGAATAGTGGGCACTGGGTTAAGTTCTGACTCTCACTCCAGGCCTGACTGACTGGCCGCCCCCAGATGGGACACCGGGTGTCCTTGGACCTCAGTGCCCTCTGCTCACAAGATGTTCTGGCTACTGCTGAATTCAGAAGAGCTTGATGTCTACTCCCAGCAACAGAGCATTTTTAAATGCTAAGGGGAAATATTATACCTGCTACTATACCTCTTTTCCCCTCCCAACTTGATATTTTCTTAAAGTCTTTTTCCCCACAATGGAAATATTTATTCTTAAATATAGGAAAAATATATGCTTATAAAACTTCAAGTAAAGTATCTCTTAACTTTTATAGATGATTATAGATCCATTTAACATATTTAACCCCCTATAGCAAATACTTTTTTTAAATTATATTTTATTGTTTATGCTATTATAGTTGTCCTCACTTCTCCCCACCCCTTTACCAGCCTCTACCTAGCTCCACCCCCAGGCAATGCCCACACTGTTGTCCGTGTCCTCGGGTCACTCATATATGTTCTTTGGCTAATCTCTTCACCTTCTTTCATCCAGTTCCCCCCTCACTCCTCCCCTCTGACAGCTGTCAGTCATGCATCTATGCCTCTGTTTCTATTTCGTTTATTAGATTCCACCTATCAGTGAGATCAGGTGGTATTTGTCTTTTTCTGGCTGGCTAATTCCATTTAGCATAATAGTCTCCAGTTCTAGCCATGCTGTCCCAAAAGGTACAATTTCCCTTTTTTACTGGGGCATAATGTTCCACTGTGTAAACGTACCACAGTTTTTTAATCCACACATCTACCAATGGGCACTTAGGCTATTTCCAGAACTTGGCTTTTGTAAATAGCACTGCTATGAACGTAGGGATGCATATATTCTTTTGGATTGGTGTTTTGGGATTCTTAGGATATATTCCCAGAGGTGGAATCATTGGGTCAAAAGGCAGTGCCATTTTTAGTTTTTCAAGGAAATTCCATACCATTTTCCACAGTGGCTGCACCAGTCTGCATTCCCACCAACAGTGCAGTAGGGTTCCCTTTTCTCCACACCCTCACCAGCACTCGATGTTTGATGATTTATTAATAACGGCCATTCTAGTAGCTGTGAGGTGCTGTCTCATGGTGGTTTTAATTTGTATCTCTCTGATCATTCATGGTGCCAAGCATTTTTTTCATATGTCTCTGGGCCACCTGTATGTCCTCTAAAGAATACTCTTTAAAAAAAACTTAGATCATAAAGGACAGGGTGCCGAAATCACCCTTTTCATTTCACAGCACCACCTAAGATGTAAAGCTGGCTTTCCCGTCTTTTCGAGGGGCCACGTGGTATTCTGTTGTGTGGGTGTGATTTAACCTTTAAGGACTGCTCCCCTGTAGCTATTTTTGTTGCTTCCAGTTCAGTTATTCCCTGTTATCAACACCCGTAGCAGTAAACATCCACACACATGTATTTTGGCCCAGTGTTGGCACAGGTCTGGATTTTATATCTTTCCTCTTGATTTATATTGCAACTGCCCTCTAGAAAGGTTAGACCAATTCACATTGCCACTATAATGCTTCAACGTGCTAGGTCCATTAATCCTCACAGAAGCTGAACTCCTGACTTTTCCTTTCTTTCTCTCCCCTTAGATCAGTCTTCTTTATACCTGCAGACCCTCCCCGAGGCAGTTCAGAGCATCCAATTCCAATTTCTTCTTCCTGCTGGTGTTGTTAATTGGCCTGTGTTTGGCGATAATACCACTGACAATCAGCATGGCACAGTAAGTAACACTTTGTTTGCTAAAACATTTCCCTGCTTCTTGACATGGTCCTCTTCTCTGTTAAAAGGCCCCGTGCACTTTCTATGGGCTCTCCTCGCAGTGCACCACCCGCAGTGGTCTGGTCAGTAAGTTGCTTCTGGCTTAGCCAGGCCCACCCTTGTTTTGGAAGCTCCCTCTGGTTGCTAGAAGGTCTTGGTCCGCTTTCAGAACTTGGGCTCGCTGGGTGCCATTATTTTTTGGAGCGCCAGTTGGGTCTGTCCTATCCAGTTCCCTTTTCCTGAGACTTCTCTTCTAGTCCCCTTTTAGAGTGTTTCTGATTATGAAAATAATACATGGTCATTGTAGAACACTTGGGAGTATAGGGAAAAGCAGAAAAAAGCAGCAAGTCACCCACGTTCCTGACACTTTGGTTGAGGGTTTGTACTTAGGGAACATTTATTTATTTAACACCTTCTATGAGCCAAGAAGTGTGCTAGATGCTAGGGGTATAAAGACATTTAACATATGACAAAGAAATGTAGAGTCTGGTGTGGAATTTGGAAAAAGCAGAATGCTCAGGGCTCAGGGCTAAGGATCAGAAGTTGAGGTTTCAAGTCCCAGTGATCTCACGCCCTAAGTGTGTTATCATTTATACCAGAGGCCAGCAAACCTTTTCTGTAGGGGGCAAAAGGGAAATAATTTAGGCTTTGGGGGCCACTTGGTGTCTATAAGCAGCCATAGACAATATATAAACTAGTGAACATGACTGTGTCCCAATTAAACTATATTTATAACAAAACAGGTGACGGGCCAGATTGGGCCCATGGACTGTAGTCTGATGGCTTCCACTGCCATGGGATTTCTTTCCTTCATCTTTAAATTAAAATCCTTAAGTTTTGAATCTGTTTCTCACATTTTTAAGTTAACTTGAATATATATTTTTATTGTTTTTTAGTGATATATATAAAAATTCAAATCATACAAAAGAGTGTGAACTAAAGGGAAAAAAATTACTCTTTATCTTCACCTCTTAGTCTCATTCTGCAAAGGTAACCACTGTTAACATTTTATGAATACTTCTAGAAATTCATTATGAACAATGTATTTTTTTTTAAAAAATACATATGCAATAATGCTATAATCCTGTCTGGTAGCTTATTTTTACCCCTTTATTTTATATTGTGCCATTATCCATGCCAATGCATGTAGAACTCTTGTTCTTTTAAAATATCTTTTAGTTTTGATTTTTTAAATATAATATATTCACATGGCACAAAATCCATAAAGTATAAAAGAGTATACGGTGGAAGTTCATCTTCCAGTCCTGTTTCCCAACTATGTACTTAGTTTCTCTCTGAGAGACAGCCATTTCTTTTCTTTTTCTTTTTTTAAATTTTATTTTTATTGTTGTTCAAGTACAGTTTTCTGTCTTTTACAAGAGCCATTTCTATGCCTCTGCCTCAGTGGCTCTTCAGCATTTCATTGTATGAAGGGATCATAAGTTGTTCATCCATTTCCTCAAACAACACTTAGGTTGTTCTCAGGAATTTATTTTTATCTGTAAAAATAGGATTGCAATGGAAAACCTACATAGAACTTTGTAATGTGGATGTAGGCAGTTCTTTGCAGGGCTTAATTTTTTCCATCATAATTTAATTTTTTCCCTACTTTGTACTTTGAAAAATTTTAAATCTATGGAAGAGTTGAAGAAATAGCCACAATGAAAACTCATATACCCTTCAACTGGATGTCCCACTTTGGTTCATTTGATTGACCATTTGAAATTAAGTTGTAGGCATCCTGACGTTCATCCCTACATGTTTGAGCACGCAGCTCCTAAAGATAAGGACACAGTAACATCGTCCTGCCTAAGAAAATACTAACATCGTATTCTTGCCATTTTCAAATTTCTCCAATTGTCCCCAAATAATCTTTCATAGCTTTATTTTAAAATGAAGATCTTTCAAGTTTTACCCACTGCTCTTGGTTATGTGTTTTTAGTCTTTTTTAATCTTTGATGTTTTTGAAGAGTCCAGGCCAGTTTCCTCATTTCTAAATAAGAGACTGGAGAATAAAATCCCCACATTCTGCATTTGTCTGATTATTTTCTCATGGTTTCATTTAACTTTGTTCAGTCTGAAATTCCTGTAAATTGGAAGTCAGGTCTAGAGATTTGATGACATTTCAGGGTAAGTATTTATGACTGGAATATTCTGGAAGGCCATAAGGTCAAGCAGTTTCTCACTGGTTACTGTTAACGAAGCCTGTGGGCGTGAGAGCAGGAACTCTCAGCCTTGGAGCACATCTCACCTGAGCTCCTCGTTCTGTGTGTCCTGGCAGCATCACTTCCTCGAAAGCTTGTGGGCCCTTCACCAACTTCAACACCAGCTGGGAGGTGGTTCCCAAGAAGGTGAGCACCTTCCCCGGCTCACTGCAGTCCCTGGTGCACAGCATCACGTCAGAGGCCTTTGCAGTACCTTTCTTCATGATCATCTGGTGAGTGAGAACCACCTGGACCCCTGAGTAGTTCCCACCGCAGCACGTGGGCTTCCCTCCACTGGGAAATGGGAGCTCACCTGCTACACTTGTCACTTTAGATGTTACTACTGAGCCTCTCTGAGCCTTGCTTTCTCATCTCTAAAATGGGCATCATAGCTGTAATTCTTTTAGAGCATCATTGAGCCGGTTCAGTAAGATCCCACATATAAGGCACTTAGCCTGTGCTTGACTTATAAAAACCTAATAAATGTTGCCTATTATTATTACTAATTATTCACAAAATCACTTGCTTTTTGAAAAGGAAACTGACTGCCCTGGCCAGGTGGCTCAGTTAGTTGGGGTGTCATCCCATCCACCAAAAGAGTGCAGGTTCAATTCCCAGTCAGGGCACATACCTAGGTTGCAGGTTCAATCCTTGGTCAGGGCGTATGTGGGAGGTAACCAGTTGATGTTTCTCTCTCTCTTAACCTTCCTCCCTCTCTTAGAAAAAAATCAATATATCCTTGGGCAAGGGTTAAAAAAAAAGAAAGAAAAAGAAACTGATTGTTGAGCAGAGAAAAGAGCATCAACTTGAGCCTTGGCTCTACCACTTATAAGCTGTGTGGCCTTGGGTCATTGCATATATATCCTTTTGGAGCCTCCATGTCCTCACCTGGAAAATGGGGATAAGGATGGCACATACCTGACAAGGCTGTGAGAAGCAGGACCTGTGGTAATACACGTAAAGTGCTTAGCAGAGGACCTGATCCTTAAAGGCTCAGTAAGTGACAGGTGCTACATGCAAGGGTGATGCGGGTCTTTGCTGCTCAGTGATTCATACTGAGAATTAAAATAATTTTAATAAAAAATGTATACTGAGGGCTATGTGCTAGGCATTGTTCTAATTACAGTGGATCCTCATTATTCACAGTTTCCTTTTTTTCCTGTACTGTCAATGTGCCCACTCACTAAAAGGTTTTTGAGATCTCAAAATCAGTACTCACAGCAGTGATCATGGTCATTTGTGGACACACACAGGGTATGGAAAAATTTGAGTCTCCTGACATGCACTGTCCTAGTCTGTTCAGGCTGCTATACCAAAATGCCATGGACTAGGTGGCTTTTAAACAACAGAAATTTATTTCTCACAGTCCTGGAGCCTGGAAGTCCAAGGTCAGGGTGCCAGATGCTTGCATGACCCTCTTCCAGCTTATAACTTCTCGCTGTGTCTTCACAGGACCAGGGAGCTCTCTAGAGTCCCTTTTATCAGGGCACTAATCCAAAGATGAAGGTTCCACCCTCACGACATAATCATCTCCCAAAGACCCCGACTTCTAACACTGTCACATAAGGCATTAGTGTTCCAGCATGTGAATTTAAGGGGGTGGCACCAATATTCAGACCCTAGCATGCACCTTTCCAGCTGAGGTTGAACAAGGCTGTAGGTATACTGCTGTCTTGTTTCAGTCCTCATGCGTGTAAGCAAGAGTCATTTTTTTGCAATCTACTTAGTGCCATGTTTCCTGCATTTAAATGCTTTTAGTTGGTGATTTCACTGTTTGATGTGGCCCCAAATATAGTGCAGAAATACTGTCTAGCGTTCCTAAGTGCGAGAAGGCTGCGATGTGCTTTACAGAGAAAATATGCACATTAGTTGAGCTTCATTCAGTCATGAGTTACAGTGCTATTGGCTGTTAAGTTCAATGTTAATGAATATTAAATAAGGTGTCCTTAAACAGAAGTAAGGTTATGTGTTGATAACCTTTCCCAATAAACAAGAAATATAACACAAGTTATCCAACAGTTGACAAACATGTTGTGACTGCTCATAGGAACCTAAACCTGTATTTCCCCTAAGGACATTGGTTCAAAATTCACTAATTCAGTGCTCCTGGAGACTTTATAGACTATAACTGCCACAAATAACTGGAGTCGATTGTAGTTTACATGTGCTAACTCATGAAATCATCACAGTTGCCCTATGATGTAGACAATATTACAGTAAGACACCACCATAATGCAAGAAGTGGGCCAAAAAATTCATTTGTTAAAGGCAGGATCCCTTGATGAGATTAATAAAATGACCTGGGAGAGCTGTGCAGCCAACAAGCCTAGAATTCTGAGGACCCTGGGATTCAGCTACTCCATCCCAATTCGTTCACCCCAGCTGTGGTTTGGCTGGTACCATCTGGTGCTGGTTACCTGATCTGGCTTCAACATCCTTGGGGACCATTCTTGTCCTGGGCCAAGGGGACTTCCAGAAGAGCACCGTTGATAGCAGCCCTCATTTTCTCAGCCCTGTCTGGGGAGGCTGCACAGGAACTACCTCCCCTTCATGCAATGAGCTTGCTGGCTGTTTTCCTCCACTCCACTTGCCCCACTCATCCCAGATAATATCTTCAATCACCTTCTTTTGAGATGTAGGGCTGCACAGAAAACAGGAGCCAATGGCCAATTGCTTTTATTCAAAATTGTGTTATCTTAGGCAACATCACTGGGTTTTACTGTATTATCCCCATTTTACAGATGAAAAGACTGAGGCTAGAGAGACTCCACAATGATCATTCACCCCTTTATCTGTTTCTTCTGCCCTTGGAAGATGTGTGGGTTTTCTTTTTCTAATGAGTAAAACAGGCAAAACCTGTTGGGTTGTTATTCTAGTGGTCTTCAAATGGTACAAACTCCCTAGTGACCACTCCACCTTGTGTTGCAGCCTCATCATGTTCTACTTCATTGCCCTGGCTGGAGCGCACAAGCGTGTGGTCGCCCAGCTCCGAGAGCAGCTGGCCCTGGTAAGGAAGCATGTTGGTCCAGAGGGTCATGTCTGGGAACCTAATGGGAAATGGCACTTTGCCCAGGAATGCTGTGGCCCCCACCACCACCTCCACTCCCCCAAAACTATGCCTTCAGGCCAGGCCTCCTCCAACTTCATTCATTCAATGACTTACTCATTCCTTCAACATGTATTGGGTTGGCCAAAAAGTCTGTTACCTTTTTTCCATAAAATAAGATATATTTTTCATTTTCACCATTAATTTTATTGTTTTGGATGCTTTGAATATGTGGGTTATCTTCTGTTATTGGCTTCTAGTGGGTAGAGGCCAGGGGTGCTGGTAAACATCTTCCAGTGTATCAGACAGCCCCTCGGCAGAGAATTACTTGACCAATAGTACCAAGAAACTTCACAAACCACTTCTGACACATTCAGTCTGTCACAGCACCTTCTCCATACACTGCACAAATCTTATTTTGCATTTCAGTTGCATTTTTACCTTTCTTGAAATAGTAAAGTGTAATACATCAAAAATGTTGTGATACATCAAAAATATATCCTTCCATCTTCAGTATTGAAATGGCTGCACAAAAATTCACCAATTTTGATAAGTTTTTTAAAATGCATGTTGATATGACAGCTGTCACAATATAGTCTAACAAAATTATTTTGAATGAAGTTAAAGACACCCAAGTGCTACTAGAGCCACTGTGTGGAAAAAGCTCAATGACCTTTTTGTCCAACCCAGTATAAGCACTCTCTGCACCCTGGATGGTTCAGGGACACAGTGGTGAAAAGGGAGACAAGGCTGATGAGTAGTTAAAGAGAAGAGATAAATTCTGATAGCAGTAACTCATGTGAGGATAATACAAACAAGGCAGAGCTACAAGTGGGCCATTTGCTACTGTTAGATAGTGGCCACTGAAGGCCTCTTTGAGGAGGTGGCTGATATTGTAGTTGAGACTCGAATGATGAGAAGGAGCCAATTATGGGAGATTTGGGGAGGAGAATAACAGGCAGAGCACAGAGAGGGAACGAACTGGGCATTCCTTGGGGCAGTGCGGGGAGGGCAATGTGGCTGGAGAGGCAAGATGATGCTGGAATTGAGCCAGGGGCCCAGCATAGCCTGACAGCTGTGCTCAGAAGTTTGGGCGTAATTCTGAGAGTGACGGGAAGCCTTTGGAGGGTGTGAAGTAGAAGTCTGATGTACGTTTTAAAAAGGTCATTGGCCACTCTGTGAAGAAGGGTCTGTGGAGGGGTCAAGAGTGAAAGACACAGACCAGTCTAGAAGCCATGACAACTGTCCAGCGTTTAATAACCTCAGCCTCGTGTCTGATAAGTTACTTATTAAGTTGAAGTAATGATATTTGGTTCCAACTACGTTGAATGGACCCTTGACCCTGTTTCTTTTTTTAGGAAAGTCGTGACAAGCGTTATCTAATCCAGAAACTAACAGAAGCCCAGAGGGATGTGAGGAACTGACTAGAATAATGGTGAAGATGTTGCTGCGTGTTGCTTATAAGCTGACTTAGCGACCTGCCGAACCTACGAAGTCCACCTGGGTTTTAAGCGAAATTTTTTAAAATATTTTTTTTCTGGAGTTTGGGCCTTTCCTGAGGGTGGTTCCATATGTGCAGCTGCAGTGGCCGTGTTTACGTGACCCCACTCCTACTTAGGGCATCAGCGATTTAGAAAAGCAGGTTCAAAACCAAGTCCCTGCCTGTGGACAGGCCAGTCAGTGACTGTGAAAGACTGACTTAGAAAGCCATTTAAGCTTTCATACCAAAAAATGGAGGAGAGAACTTACAGACTTTTAAGAGCTTACTTATTTTGTCTTTTAAAGTTAACTGCAGAGCTCATCTGTTCATGAAGCTGGGGTAGTTCTTTTAAACCAGATCCTATGGGTTGAGGCTGAGAAGTGTCCCTGAAGAAGTGGGGACCCTTTTATATGGTTCTATAGACTCAAAATGAATGCAGGTGTTTTCTTTTAATGAAGAGAAAACCTTGAATCATGGTTTTTGGACCAGATGGTGGCAACATGGAGAGGGTGGCTATGTAATTTCAACAACATGGTAGTAATATGAGAAAAGCCATTTCTGCTGTGTGAGTTAGTCTCTGAATGCCCTAGGTTACACCTTCTGAGGAGCACTGCCGCAGGATGGCAGTGTTGACTTCTTAGCTGCAGCCTTATTTATTACTAAGGAGGAAGCTGCCTTTAAAGGGGCTGGATAGCCACAAGCTTCAGTACCCTTCCAGTCCTGAGTTTGGAGACTTGGCAGAGGGCCCAGAGCCATGAAATCAAGAGGCAGACAAAGTTTGTCTTCCAAATTCCATTTCCAAACTTCCTGCACTGAGGTCTCTATTTCTGAAGGACACTACTCATTTCAGAGTCAGGCTGAAAAAAGGCGGCTGAGTATTTATTTGAGTTGCGGATTTACATGCATAAGTGTTTTGGGAATGTGGGTTGCAGGTCTGCCTGTTAATCAGATCAGCCTGTGCAAGTGTACCAAATTAGACTGAATACTGGTTTCTTAGATACACATATCCAAATTGCTAAGGGTTGAATTTTTAAACACAAGTGCCTTTATGTCACAAAGCATGCAGAGTAGCTCTTAAGATTTTCATTATAGTATAAACTATATCAATAAATACCTCATCATAAGCTTTCTAAAATTGACAGGTCTGAACTTTTAAATATAAGCCTAAGTTATTGTTTAATGTAATAAGGTTTAATTTTTATATTTTCAGGTCGTTTCCAAAGTACTTTAGTTTTATAATGGACCATTTGAGTCTGCCTTTCACTGACTCTGAACCTTTCTTGAGGGTAGCCTGGAATTTAACATTTGGTGCAGGTTTTGAAAGCTGTTGCCGTTAGGAATATTTTCCACCCCCTCCACCCCTCATTAGGAAGAAAATGACTCTGCTCTGAGAAGCAAACCATGCATACTATAGCTTATACATTGCTCTATACTTGTCCCTTTGCCAGACCATTTACTTTCCTTCCATAAAGTTAGCATTAACATGGGGTATTTTTGTACCTGTGAGACCAATGAGCTTTTCAAGCTTTTTCTCTCTTAAGGTTTATGACTTCCTAAGTCTAAAGACTAGTCTCATAGAATTCTGAGTAAACAAAAGTTCATTCCACCCTAACTTTAAAAAAATTCCAATTTGGGCCATTTCTGCCTAGTGTATTTGTATATATTATGTTCTTGCCTTCATCATGCTTCTGAGGAGAGTCAAGTTTGTGTGTGTGTGTGTGTGTGTGTGTGTGTGAGAGAGAGAGTGAGAAATGAAGCTGGTTTTTTTTCTTATAAAACTGATACTGAAATGTGCTAATATATTTTAGTTAAATGCTGCTAATTTGCATACCTTACTTGAACATTTATATCTATTTTGATAACTTTAAGTGATGTCTTTGTAACTGCTCAAGTACAGCTCTTGATAACAAATGTGCGTGAAAAACTGATTAAAGTCTTTACGTTTTTTCAATGCAATTGCATATATTTGAATTCATGGAACTTTTTGTCGATAATCAAGTGACCATGTTACCAAACCACCCAGTAGGGGTCCTACCACTTACTGCCAAACAGTCAAAACTCCGGAGGCAGAGTTCAGTGGAAAGGAAAAGGAATCTTTTATTTAATGATCACACAATTTGAAATGAAGGCAACTTTCTGCCTCAAAACCCATTCCTTCTGAAATATCCAAAGAAAAATAACACTGCCACCCTCTGCCAGACCAGACCAATCCTAGGCTGCACCTGGAATTCCTCTTCCTGTTTAAAATTACTGTCCTTGGGAAAAAGCAGGTGGCTGCAGCATGCTTCTGGTCATCATCTGCTCTAGGTGTCCTTTAGAGTCTCTGCACACTGGCTGAAGTCCCAGTTGTAGCATTCTGCTCCTTCCTTGGCTTCTGCCTGCCAGTCTTGCCTCCCAGCCACGCAGTCTCCAGGGCACACCAGCCCAGGAACTCAAGCCCCTGGTGGTGGACTAGACCAGCGAGGAGAGGGGAAAACAAAAAGTGCAGCATTTCCATGCTATCCACTTTTTAAAGATGGCCTTCAGAATCCCCTGAGTGGCGGAAATAGATAGGAGAGTATGTCCTTCCATCCAGTCACCTCCCTAGCCCGACACAGGTGCTCAACACACTTCTTTCTGCCTAGTCATGCCACTGTTACCTTGGTTGTCAGGCCAATACACACTGGTTCGCACAGCCGCACTGAGGCTGAGGCTGCAGCTCATACCCAGTGGTCTGTGCTTCCCAACCCTCCCCCTAGAAATTTCTGTGGAGTTCCCCCGTTACAATCGTGGACAATTAATTTTAAGTTTGTAAAGTTGTACCTTTTTCTAGAATCAGAGAGAAGTGTATAATTATAGGTAATCATCAGATGAGCGTTTTTAAGGCTCCTTGGCTCTGTTGAAGCCAAGGGGAGGGTGTATGTGTTTTAAACTTAAAAGATATAAAATTATTTCAAGCTATCCTGCATCCCACACCCACAGAAGGAACCACTGCTAATGATGGTTTTGCTCCCCCCAAATTACAATACATATTCAAACAGATATACTTATGTGAATGTATAAAATATATATTTCTGAGCTTCTCCCTTTTTTCTCACATCTTGAAAATCTTTCCCTGTAAGTATTCACCACATTCTTTTTAATAGCTACATAGCATTCCATTATATTAGTATGTTACAAAACTCAAGGGGTTCACTGCTTGGAGTTTCTATTCCAGAACAAGATGTAGCCCTGGATTGGTAGCTCAGTTGGTTTGAGCATCATCCCAGTACTCCAAGGCCCTGGGTTCGATCCTGAGTCAGGTCACATTCAAGAAGCAACCAACAAATGCATAAATAAGTGGAATAACGAATCAGTATTTCTCTACCTTCCTCTCTCTCTCAAATCAATAAATAATTTTTTAAAAGAACAAGATGTGGTTGTCACAAGGTAGTTTTACTTGCAGGAAATAAAGGAGACAGGAGGTTCACATTGGAAGCTCTGTCTTGCTGAAGGGACCCTTAGCTCTTCCTTATATATAGTGTTTGGTTAATTACATGTTGATTTCTTTTTCTATTTGAAAAAATATTTTCAACAGATTTTTTTCTAATGACTTCATGTCTTAGAGCGGTTTTAAATTTATAGAAAAGCTGAGAGGCAGGTACGAAGATTTCCCATACACCCATTACTCCCCACAAGCATAGCCTCCCCCCATTTACCAACATGCGCTACTAGATTGTATATTTGTTACAACTGATGAAATCTACATTGACACATTGGATATGCACTTTTAAAAGTATGATATATAACTAAATCTCCTCTCCCTATCCCAACCCCCAAGAAACCAATGTGCACCGACATAAGTGCAACCAACAGTAAAGTGGAAACAAACAAAAAAAGTGTTGTCTGCATAAAATCTAAAATTGAGAAAAGGACTAGGAAGAAATTTCAAGTAGTCTGTCAGTCCCAATACCTAGAGATAACACGTGCCCATGTGGTGAACTGAATTTCACTATTTTGAAGTGGATGTAGAATAAAAAGAGAAAAGTGGTAAAAGAGAAAGTACAATAGTTATACCAATAAATTAATTCATGGTCCTCTTTCCCACGAATCTTTATCCTGTCGGTGATGGGAGAGGAGTTAGTTACAGAATAGTCATGGGGAGTGTAAAGTACAGCACAGGAAATACAGTCAATAATGTTGTAATAAGTACTTATGATGTCAGATGGGTACTAGATTTACCAGGGTGATCACTTCATAAGTTACATAAATGTCTAATCATGGGGTTGTACGCCTGAAACTAACATTGTATGTTGGCTGTAATTTAAAATAAAAACAATGCAATTTTTTGAAAACCACACTGTCAGGATTTTTGAAAGAGCAATTTAGCATTCTCACCTCCATAGCAACCAAAGGCACTTCTCCATTATGGAGAAGTGATTGATATGACCGCACCCAATAGAATCTTTTCACTTGCAATTTTTAACCAATAGCGTGGAAGCAGGGGCGTTTCCACCACTGCAAACCAGGGTGGCGTCTTTCTAACGTGTGTCGTGCGTCATCAGTCTGCGCTAAGGGCATGTTTGTCCCTGGTCACTCCAGGTAGTGGTTGCTATTTGGTCCCAGCAATGAGCTGTACCCAGTTAATGGGGTCTTGCTTCCCGTGGCGGCTGGGCATGGGCGCCCCGCGGCACCTCTCAGGTAAAACAGGGGCGTGGCCCCAGTACTGCGCTGGGCGGGCTGGCCTGGGAATTTGTTCCTGGGGTTGAGGCCGGAGAGGTCACGGAGAAGGTGTTTGCGTACGTCACTGGGCCGCGACGGAGCGTGACTGCGAGACTTGAAACCCTGGGGCGCTGGCGGCGTGGGGGGGGTGTGTCGTGCGCAGCGGGAATGCGAGGCGAGATTAGGATGGCTTTCTGCGAAGACTTTGTAGGGCAGCCACTTAGGGTAGACGCATTGGGAAGTTGCACACAAGCCTTCACGTCACTGCAGGCGGTCGGAGTTCCTGGCAGAGGACAGTTGGCGACTTTGAAAGTTCAGTGCTTCGTGGGTGTCCTCGTTGCCTTCGCTCAGGGTCTTGGCAGGCAAAGTAATCACGCGACCAGCGTCTGTTCCACCCCCCCCCCCCTCGCCGCGGAGCTCGTTGGAAACGCAGATTCTCAGGTCCCTCCGCTGACCTACCGGGTCGGTATATCTGTCGTGTTTTAACAGCCCCTGGAATAAGACGAATACATTAGAAAGTTTGAGAAACACCACAGTGGTGGAAGGAACATCGAGTTTGGAGTAGGGAGACTTGGGTGTGGAGCCTGGCTTTTTAGCTCGGTTTATCTGAGTTGCCTCAGAAAATTGTAACGTCGTTTTCTCATTGTTTACGTACCACCTTCAGGATTTTGCTTTAGAGCAATAGCGCTTGTATATACTTTTGATTATTAAATGTGTTTTTTTCTATAACCGTTTTCCATTTTTAAGTTAAACAGCTTCAGGGAAACTAAATCCTTACGGTGAACACCACTGGCACCAGCATTTGCTGCCCCAAGTAGAGTAATCATCAAAAATCAATACGCTGAAAACAAAAAGTTATTGAATTGTTTTAGGTACTCTTGCCTACCAAGGCTTGAGCCAAAGACCATCTTTTTTTCTTCCCTTCCCCTGGGGAAAAAAAAAAAAAGGTTAGCTAATTTAGGAAGGTGTTCAAGATCTTTCATTTCTAAACAGACCAGTCTCCTTGATTGAGTCAAAAGGATTGGAAGAGAATTTAAGAGAATAACCCCTACTGCATGAATGTTATTTAGTGTACATTCATAAGCCACTTAAGATATCCCCATATACCACTTAAAATCTTACAGGTAAAATCATTAGTGTAGGTTTCCCACTTTGGAAAACAAATATAAAATGATACATTTGAGAGTTTCTAGTACTGGCCCTCAAGTTTATTTTTTAAAGTATGTCTCAGTACAGGCAAAACTCACAGGATTGTTGAACATGAATTTTCATGCTTTCTTGAGCAAATGATTACAACAGAGTAACAATCTTTTTTTTTTTCATTTATAAAGTTACCTTGCTTCCTATATCTCATTTTATCTTCATGATCCTCAGTAAGAAAGGTTTATTATGGTTTCTCTTAAAAAGGAAATAAACTAATTATTACCAATATTATATGTAAGAAATGGCAGTTCTGATTTGTCTGAGATTACATTTGAGATAAGACACAGTATCTGACTAGCTCTGTGCCCTTTCTGTGGTCCCTCCATAAGAGATTGTGAAAAGATAGAAATGGCAAATATTATGATAACTCAATCCTCCATATTACCCCCCATCCCAAATCATTTATTAGGTGCCTGAATCTGAAAAGGTGGTGTAGTGCTGGGGAACAGTCTAGCATGGTTCTAATATAAATATAATCCTACCCATCAAAAGTCAGCTGTATGTTTGAACTCATATACTCAGTAAATTTTTCAGTAAATATATATATTTTTAAATGAGTACTGTGTTGTTTTTTTTGGGGGTGGGTTGTTTTTAAAGTTCTTTCCCATTGACATATTTTGGGGTGGGTAACAAAGAAACAAGATTATTATAAGAAATAGAGCCAGCTGGTCATTTTCCATTTTAATTCTTGGGTTCCATCTTTTTGCAAGGAAGTGAGATTGATGAAAGCACCAGTCCTTGAACTGGGAGGCAAAAACTTGCAAGAGGCTACCTTGATTTTGTCAAATGTCTCAAATTGTCCTTTATATAAAAACATAGCCACAGATGATAGTGACTCATTGTCTAAAGGCACAGAACTGGGTGGTACTTTATACTTGGCAGAACTTGGAGTCCTCTTGAGTCAAATATGCTCAGTGAGATGGAGCAGGTTGTGCAGAGGAGTAGATCAAAGCTGGGTCGTGGTACTTCACACCTCCATGTCCTTAGCACAGTGTTCAGAGAGAGGCACTTTAAACTTGACCAAAAAGTTCAAATGCAGAACAACCCCAAATTCCACTAGGTCTACCCCATCACCTTGTGTCCAAAGCACTCAAGCCTTTTTTTTCTTTTATTTTTGATGTTTTATTGTTTGTGCTGTTATTACAGATGTCCTATTTTCCCCCTTCGTCCCCCTTCACTTCCATAGTCAGTCCCCACTCCATTGTTCATGTCCATGGGTCTTTCATGAATGTTCTTTGACTAGTCCCTTCAATTAGTCCCCACTTACCCCCTCCCCTCTTACAGCTGTCAGTCTGTTTCATGAGTCCATGCCTCTGGTTCTATGCTGCTCATTAGTTTATTTTGTTCATTAGATTCCTCTTATAAATGAGATCATATGATATTTGTCTTTCATAGACTGACTTATTTCACTTAGCAGCACTCAAACCTTTTTAATGAAAAAACCACAGATGTACCCAAAATGAAAATTTCCACACATTTTCTGGGTGTTGAAGTTAGTCTAAATAAAAAGTATCTATTAAAAACATGGTTGTCATATATAATCTTTGGAACACATCTCAAGATGATATCAATACAAGTCAGAGTTCATGTTATAAACTAAATAGTCTCAGTGTCCATTTCCATATCTGCAAAATGAAGTTAAAACACTTTACACACCTAGACACATCACAAAACCCTTTTCTTAGTGGACAAAACTTTTGGCATGCTATCATACAAGGCTCAGAGAATACAGTCCAGGTGCCATTAGCAGATTTTTAAAAACAACATTGAATCTGTCCTGAAGAATTTACATTTTGAAGGCAAGGATAATTGAGCTGAATTACTTATGTACCATAATGAGATGAAACCCAAGTTCTAAGGCTTATTTTTCAAAATAAGATACCCGTGCATGCAGGTGTTTCAAGAGAACTTCAACCTATGGTTCTCAACCTTGACTGCAAAGAAGATTTGTGCACAGAGCTTTTTAAAAATACCAGTGCCCCCCTCCCAGAAATTGACTGAGGGAGGAGCATTCATGGTTTTGAAAGCTCTCTACTGTGCAGCCAGGGTTGGGAAGAAGGTCAGGAGGGACGGGCGAACTGGAGAACCATGCCTAGACCTAGAGTCTGCTGCCATATTAACTGCCTGGAGAGAAGGCAGGCTCAGAATTTCCAAATTTTCATATGCTTAAAGTGAAACCAGAAATCCAGATATAGTATTTAGCTAAACTCTTCTGTTTTAACTGTAGGTAACTAATTAAAAACAAAATCCCCCGAAACACTGCAAGATAAACAACATACTTAAGGGCATGTTAACCCACAGGGAACTCATTTGCTACTTTTGTTCTAAGGTGCCCCTTCTGTCTGTAAAAGGAGACATCTCAGTTTTGCTCAAGAGTAATGAAGAATAAACACTTGCATTGCAGCTTATGGAAGAAGAATCAGTGTCAGATTTTGCAGCTCAGGAATGACTTTAGACAAGACCAGTCGGGCAGCTGTAGATCGAATCATACGGGTGGATCATGCAGGTGAATATGGAGCAAACCGCATCTATGCAGGACAGATGGCCGTCCTGCGTCGCACAAGTGTCGGGCCAGTCATCCAGGTGGGTGCTGCTTTATCTCTTTCAGCCTGGTCTACTGAACAGGGCTTAGGGGGTAAGGACCCAGAGACCTTCAAGTAATAAATTACTTTAGGTCATGCATTCTCAGGGGATTTACTCTTTGTCCTCCAAACAAGTGGAAATTGGATATTGGGGAGGGAAGAGTGAAAAGTGTATTCTTTCTATGTATGGAGCACAGGTAGGCATCTAGTACATAAACATATACACAGTATATCTATGGTATTAACTTTTCATGTGAAGATGGATGATCATGAAAATGGGGTTGAGAATCACATTAGGTAAAAGTACCAGTTGCTGAGAGGTTGCCTCCTGCCCTCAGTGCAGCTCAGTGGAGATATTTTATACTGAGAAGCAGAGGAAGATACCTGGGCTTTATAATCACACAGACCCAGTTTCACATTCCAGCTCTCCCACTTCCTCTGTGACCTTGGAGAAGTAACATAACCTTTGCACCTTCATTTCTGCACCTGCGAAATGGGCTGATAACACCCACCTCACTGGGTTTTGGTAGGTGTTATGGTGAAGAATAAATGAGCCAGTGTAGAGCAGCTGATACCATGCCTGGCATGTAACAGACGCTCAGCACAAGTTAAATTGCCTTTTCTGAGTACTCAGGCAAGTTGCTTAACCTCCCTATGCTTTACTTTCTTCATCTGTATAATGAGGGTAACAGTTTGTCCTTCACAAAGCAGTCGTGCAGCTTAAGTAAGTTGCCAATCTGAAACCATTTGACGGCGCCTGGCACTTAGGAAGTGCTGCATGCTAGCTGTTACCATCATTCTCTCTTTCTCCTTTGATGTAAATGATACTTATATGCTAGCAATCTGGAAGGAAATCATACGATAGCTAATGTTCTGCCCTCCTAATTTTGAAAAAGCTAAACATCACATTTCTCATGAGTATGGAGCCTCATCTTTTAATAGGCACTTTGTGGGTCTGTGGCACTTCTGTCAGAATCATGGTTCATGGATGGGGCGTGTAGCTTCTTTGGGATATAGCGGGCGGTGGCCTGCATAGAATGCTTACATGTCTTTATTGTTATGTTTCTTACAGAAAATGTGGGATCAAGAAAAGGACCACTTGAAAAAGTTCAATGAATTGATGGTTGCGTACAGGGTCCGGCCGACGATTCTGATGCCCTTTTGGAATGTGGTGGGGTTTGCACTGGGTGTGTGTCTGCCCATAAGGGCTTGTGGGAGCTGAGAGGTCGGGGACGATCATATTCTTTAAGTGCCACTTCACAAGTTTCACTGTGTCCTCCTGCAGCCTTTCTTTATTTACTTAGTATTTTCCTAAAGTTAAATTGGCTGACTTTCTTTTTGCTTAAATTTATTTAAGATAGAACCTTAAAATCAATAGTTTTATAAATAAAAGGTACAGTAAAAACAGATACAACAAACACAGCTAGACTAATTCAGTTGTAGCCAGATAATATTTCCTGACAAAGGTTCTCAACCTGGGATCTCACTCCTAAAAAAGAGAATAGTAAATACTATGCAAGATTCAAAGACATACCCCAGTTAACGACTTTCTCCTTGCCGTAATCAAGTTAGGGAGATCATTGAAAAGAGAATAACATTCTATGTTAATTAAGCTTTAATACTGTAACCTGGCACCACCTAAAATAGTGGTTTTCAGTGGGGTCAAGTTGTTAATGAGCACAGTTGGCAGTATCTAAAGACATTTTTGGTGTCACACCTGGGGATGCCATCAGCATCTAGTGGGCAGAGTGGGCAGAGTAGCCAGGGATGTTACTAAACACCCTGCAATAACAACAAAGGGTTATCAGCCCAAAGTTTGTAGTGCCGAGGTTGACAAGCCCTGACCTGACATGCCGTTCCTTACCACTGGTATCAGTCCCATCCTTGACTGCTCTGGGTTTGACGATTCCAGGCGCGGGAACCGCCCTGCTTGGGAAGGAGGGAGCCATGGCCTGCACGGTGGCTGTGGAAGAGTCCATAGCACATCACTACAACAACCAGATCAGGGCACTGATGGAGGAGGATCCTGAAAAGTACAATGAGCTACTGCAGGTATTCGACTACCCTCTGAAAAGGGCCTGATAAGGGGGAGCGGGGCAGACATGCAATTTAGTAAAAAGACACACAAAAACTAGAATGTTAGAGAATTATGGGACCTTAGAAATCTAGGTCAGCACCTCATGTCTTTGAAGGCATGCAAACTAAGGCACAGAGCTGAAGCTGTGTGCCCTGGTCACATGCTCGAGCAGAGGTCAGGAACCTGTGTCTTCTAAGCCTGGGCAAGTGTCCTCTTCATTTTCAGATTTGTGGTAGGTCTTGAGCAAACGCTATTAGCATGAACCCTTCAGATTAAATAAATGAACTAAAAGATACCCTCGGATAATTTTCTACAGCAGATAAGGGAACAGATATGGACTTGACTTTTTTTAAAGCCTAAATCAGGTTGATAAACTATGGCTTGTGACCGACCACTTGCTTCTGTAGAGAAAAGTTTTGTTGGAACTCAGCTATACCCATTTGTTTACTTGTCTGTGGCCGCCATCCCATCTACAATGGCAGAGTTGAGTAGCCGTGACAGGGACTGCACACCCTTAATGCACTGACTCTGTCTCTATAGGAAAAGTTTTCCTACTCCAGTCTTAGATAATAATATGAGTCTTTAGCCCAAAATAAGACGGAATGCCAGGAAAGTTAGAATGCTGACTTGCATTGATTTCTGTTTGTTTAACCAGGTGATAAAGAAATTTAGAGATGAAGAGCTTGAGCATCATGACCTAGGCCTTGAACACGATGCAGAGCTGGTGAGGACCTACCTTTACTGTTTGCGTGTGGTACTTTGGGCACCTGATGTGGCAGATGGAGGGCTGGGGAGGTTTCTGTTCCCAGAAAATAGGTTTCACAGGGACTGCCAAAGAAAGAAGACCAGTACACTGCTTTGCCAAAGAGCAAGCTCCCAATTGGGAATCTTGGTCCTTGCTTCCACCTTTCTCCCTTCCCCAGCAGCTCCTTTCCCACTGCAGTGAGAAACCAGGTGACTCTGTGCTTTGGCAGTAGCAGAGGCATCCTAATTCCAGTAGGTCCCCCCTCCCCAAATTAAAATGAACTGTTTCTTAGATCTTATTTCTTATTTCTTATCTTAGTGATGAGACTAAGAAGTCTCGTCACTGCCAGGCCTCTATCTCACCACCAAAAGTGAACATAGAACGTGTTTGCTGATTGTTGTCTTTAACAGGCTCCAGCTTATGCTGTTTTGAAGAGGGTTATCCAAGCTGGATGCAGCGTCGCAATATATTTATCAGAAAGAATTTAAGGTATGTCCACTGTACCCTGTTTATAAAGATGATAGTAATTTAACAAGTGAAATTGACAGAAAAGGAAAGGTACAATTATTACTGAGCAAGGGCTTACTGCCCCATGCGCCATGACATCGTCTTTGAGAAAAGAAAAGGTTTTAATTGCAAGGTCCACCAGCAATGAAGCAGGTGGCAAGGCTCAAATCTGTATCCCTACTGAGGGGTTTTGGGCTAAATTTAAAGGAAGAAGCAGGGGAAGTTGGGTATATTTAGAGTTACATTGATTCAACATGGGAGCCTAGTGCACGGGTTTGGGAGTCACAGCTTTTCATATGTTGAATGTTTGAATTCCGTGTTGGGGGTTTGCATGTCGTGCACAGTGGATTTTGACCCAGTGACTTTGAACGGTTTTTCTGGGGTAAATTCTTTCTCTAGTGCGTTGTCCTGCTGTTCAAGTGTGTGATCCTGCAGCCTTATTCTGCTGTCTCTGAAAAACAACTTAGTGTCTTGTTAGGAACGGAACAGGCCATTTTATGCTAGTTTCGTGGTTACATTATTGTTATGTGAATTTTGTTAATAAACTGCAAGTTTTTTTTTAATTCATAAAACTGTCCGGTGTTAATTTTTTTTTTCTGTGTATGCTGTAAGATTGGTAGTTCACCAGGTACATTCAGATTACAGCAAAGTTGGTCATTGTTTGGTCTATAGCTATTTTTTCCTAAAATATCATAAATGAATCATTCAAAAGTAATAGGAATCTAAAGAAAAATTTTGAGCTTACTGGTAAAAATGGAAATTGAAAACACAAAGGTGTTTAAGTTTGACAAAGCAAGACTCTCAAGTTCATCAGGCAAGTGGAAGACTGTCAGTTGTTTGTTTTGAATTTTGGACTGAGGGCGCATTACTTCCATTAGAGAACATACTGAGTTGCGGATTGTTTGTGAAGTTGCATTATATAGTTTTTTTTAGGTCTGTTACCAAAAGAGTGGACCAAAACAGATGGAACTTTTCATACCGTGTTGAAATCTTTTATGATTTGCATATTTTTAAGTAACTTATTAAAAACCTAGGTTAGTGATTCTCCTCTCTGGCTGCACATTAGAATGTCCTGAGGAGCGTTTTAAAATTTTTCAGTTGGTAAACCAAAAATTCTGAATGAAAATGGGGCCCAGGAGCTGAATAGTTTTCTAAGCCCCCAGGTAATTCTAGTGGGAGTCAGGACTGGGGACCCCTGCCCTAGACTCTAAGCTTTTGCAGTGAAGAAATTACATGACTAAAGCTTTGCCTTCCACCTGCATCCTGGGCTTAATCAGCATCGCATGACGGGGCATGACTTGCGTCCAGGAGGTCTGTCTAATTTTCAAGGACAGTGGACACCGGCATAGTTTGGATTAGTCAACTGCTGCTCTTTTCCTAACCCAGAGTGAGTTTAGTTTTATGTGATCAGTAGATTAGTCTTCTGATAATAAGTTGCAATAAATGAGACACAGGAGAGAAAGGTCAAAGACAAGTCGAGATTCCCAACTCTTCAGTGCTAGGTCACAAACAGACATCTGTAGTGTAGTAGATTCAGTGTAGTTGGTTAACAACTGGAAAGCTAAAGTCCTGCAGTGACTGCCTCACGTCTGCATTATTTTATAAATGTGCATTTTGTCTTTCCCATATGAGACCATGAGTTTCTTGAGGGCAAACAGTCTTTTGCAGCCCCTGATACATTGTAGGCACCCATTTAAAGGAAGGAAGACGGGAAGGAATGAAAGAGAAGGAAAAGAGAAAGTGAGGGAAGGGTCCAGATGTTCTTAAGCAGCTGCCAAGCTGCTGTGAAAACGGCCTCCCAGGCTGTTCTCCCACTCCTCGGGTCCTCCCCATGTCAGGGGTCCCTAGCTGCAGTTTTTGGCCTTGTCTGTCACCTTTTTCTTGGTATCTCGCCCTCCCTCGTGGCTGATTCCTTCACATGTGCACCTCCGCCCCAGATTTCTCATTTTTAAATAGCCCGCTTCCTATCTGACCCCTCCACTTGGAAACTGAGGGGAGTCCTAGGCTCTGCCTGCCCCACGCTGAACTCGCCTCCCCTTCCCTGAGTCCTGCTTCCCCGCTGGCTCTCCCCATCACAGTTAAGGGCAAATCCACCTTTCTGGTTCTCAGGCCAAAACCTCCAGAGTCACCTTTGACACTCACCTGTGTCATCATCCCATCTAATTGATGAGGGCATCCCGTGGGCTCTACCAGATCCTTTCTGTTGCCTTTCGTGCTTCCATTCAGAACCCAGCTCCACTCACCTCTCACCAGGATTATTGTAGAAGCCTCCAAACTATTCTTCCTGCCTTCCCCTTGTCCTCCCACAGGTCATTCTCAACCCAGCTGTGAGTCATCCTTTCCACCATGAGCCAGACCACGTTATTGCTAAGCTCAGAATCCCAGTTCCCAGTTCCCTCAGAATGAAAGTCACAGTCCCTAAATGGTTTACAAGACCCCCATGACCTAGCCCCCTAGCCTCCATGACCTCTTTCCCCCTTCTGCACTCAGCTCCAACCACACAGGCCTCCTCGCAGTTCCTCAAAATGCCAGGCATGCCCCTGCCCGTGGTCTTTGCAGTGGCTGTCCCTCTGCCCAGAATGCGCTTTCCTAAATATCCATGTGGGCAAGTTTCTCTCCGACTCCTAAAGTTTTGCTTAAATGTTACCTTTTAAAAGGACTACCTGTTTCAAAATTTCAAACACTACTGCATGCACCCCTCCTCTGCTCTGCACCCGTTGCCTACCGTGGCACTCACCACCATCTAGCATATTATATGATGTACTTACTTACTTGTTATGTTTCTTGTCTGTTTCTTGCTGCAAGAATGTCAGCTCTTGAGGGCAAGAATCCTTGTTTTAATCACTGACACATAATAGGTGCTCAATAAATAGTTTTTGATGGGAATGAATAAAGAAATCACACTCCGTTATTAGAAGTCATTTTCGCATAACGTAATTGAAGAGTACTCCTGTATGCTTCACAGCAAAATTCAGTGGAAACTTAATTGAAAGAATGCTACCCATCTGGGGTGGGCCCCTGGACCCATGGTCTGTACAGATTCTTTTGCTATAAAACGCAAAATCTTCCAGCTTGGGCAAGGGTAGCAAGCGGAGTGGATGCAAGGAAGAAAGGAAAGAGGCGCTACCAGGAAACCAAAGGAAGGCCATTCTGTGTGCCGCTTGCTGATGATTAAAAACAAAACAAAAACAGACTGAATATCCACATGCAAAAGAATGAGTTTAGACCCCTACATCCTAGCATATACAAAAGTTAACTCAAAATAAACCAAAAGTCTAAGTGTCAATGCTAAAAAAACCCCTTTAGCTCTTAGAAGAAAACCTGGGAGTAAATATGTGACCTAGGATTAGGCAGCAGTTTCTTAGATAGGACACCAAGAGCACATGCAACAACATTTTAAAAACAGGTAAATCAAACTTTATCAAAATAAAAACTTTTGTGCTTTGAAGAACGCTATCAAGAAAGTGGAAAGATACCCACAGAATAGGAGAAAATATTTGCAAATCCTATATCTTATAAGGGATTTGTATCTAGACAATGTAAAGAATTCTTACAATTCAGCCTTGACTAGTGTGGCTCGTCCCACAAAGAGAAAGGCTGCCAGCTCGATTCCCAGTCAGGGCACGTGCCTGGGTCGCAGGTCAGTCCCTGGTAGGGGCTGTGAGAGGCAACTGATTGATGTTTTTCTCACACATCAATGTTTCTCTCTCTTTCGCCCTCCCTTCTCTCTCTGTAAAAATAAATAAAATCTTTTTTTGAAAAAGAATTGTTACAATTCAACAATAAGACAAATAGCCCAATTAAAAACAGGCAAAGGGTTTGAATAAACAAGTCTCCAGAGAAGATGGATAAATGGCCAATAAACATTTAAAAAGATGCTCAACATCATTAGTCATTAGAGAAAACCACACCACTATAATGGCTATAATCAAAAAGACAATAAATCAAAAAGAAAATGTGTTGCTGAGGATGTGAGAAATTGGAATCTTTTTACACCACTGGTCGGAGTGTAAAATGTTGCAGTCCCTTTGGAATACAGTCTGGCAGTTCCTCAGACAGTTAAACATAGAATTAACCATAGGATACAGTAACTCCTCTCCTACTATACACCCAAAAGGGAAGAAAACATGTTCAGGCAAATATTTGTACATGAATATCCACAGAAGCATTCTTCATAATAGCCAAAAAGTAGAAGCAGCCCAAAGGTCTTTCAGCTGATAAATGGATAACCAAAATGTGAGACAAAATGTGAGATACATTGGAATATTACTTAGTCATAAAAAGGAGCGGAGTACTGGTACATGTTACAACATTGATGAACCTTAAAAACATGATGCTGGCTTTGCGCAGTGGCAGTATCATAGCCAGTGAGGTTTATCCAAGGCTCAATGATTGCTAATTGAAAAACACGACGCTTTGCGGTCCGAGTTGCAGTGTGGAAAGATGGAAGTAGTTTTGGATACGGATAAGGACACAACAGTGTCCTTAATGCCACTGAACTCTACATATAAAAATGGCTAAAATAGTAAATTTTATAATGTATACCACAAGTAATAATTTAAAAATTACACTAAGTGAAGGAAGCCGGACACAAAAAGGCCACATGTTGTATGATTCCATTTATATGAAGTGTCCAGAATAGGCAAATCCAAACAGACAGAAAACAGACATGGTTGGCTAGGGCTTTGAGGGTTTGGAGAGTAACAGCTAATGGATACAGGGTTTCTTGAAGGGGTCGTGAATGTTCTAGAATTAGATGGGGGTGACAGTTGCACAACCTTGTGAATGCACTGAAAACCATGAATTGTACACTTTAAAGTGGATTTTACGGCATGTGAATCACAGCAATAAAACAATACAGGATTTATAGTTTTATGTGATATCTGAAAGCAAACTTTGATCCAGGCTGTTAAGTGGGGAGACTTTCTTTAATGTATCCACCCTTCAAGCCCGCAGAGCGTTACAGGTGCCTTGATCTTTGCAATACTGGTGGTATTTGTTGCCCTCCTGTAGCAAAGCTAATTTTGTAAGTATTGCAGTCAGGAATCTTAGGCATATAAAGGCATTCTGTACAATCCTCATTAAAAGGCCAGATTTGTTGCTGTTTGTTTTGCATCCCCTTCAGAATTGATGGCTGCTGTTTTATGCTTCCAAGAGCTTCCAAAACAAGATCAGGTTTTTTGAATACCCTTCTGATTGTGTTTTATTTCATTATAGCTTGTCCTTGTGTATTAACAAGGTAATCTTGTCTTTCCCTTACTTGACTGCTCTGACCTTTCAGGAGACATGTGATTTTAAAATTGGACACCATCCAAAGATGATGCCAGCATGACAAAGGATATTATTCCTGCAAGCAGTGTAGTTCCAAAGATGTGATCTGAGCTGTCGTTCTTTGCATATGTGACTCCCTCTCAAAGTGTGGTCCGTGGACCAACAGAAGTGGTGTCGATAGTGAGCGTGTTGGAAGTGTGAAACTTTGGGCTCCTCCCCAGACCTACTAAATCAGAATATGCATTTTAACAAGATATGGTGGTTTTAAAGTATGTCCACAAATTCCTCAATACTCCTCTCTTCAGTGGAATCCACTTCTCCTTGCCCTGAGTGTGGGCTGTCCTTAGTGACTTGTTGCAAATATAATGGAAATTATGGAGTATACTTCAAGGCTGGTGGGTCGTCAAAACATTTCAGCTTCCACCTTTCTCTCCAGGATCACTCACTCTAGGGGAAGCCAGCTGCCATGTGATGAGGACACTTGGGCAGTTACTCTGTGGAGAGGGTCACATGGCCAAGATCTGGGGCCTCCTGCCTACAGCTGTGTTTGTGTGACATCTTGAAAGTGAATCCATCAGCCCCAGTGAAGCCTTCAGATGACCTCATGAAAGACCCAGAGCCAGAATCACCCAGCTAGGTCAGTCCTGAATTCCTAACTCTCAGCAACTATGTTCGATAATAAATGTTTATTTTCGGCTGCAGAGTTTTGGGCTGATTTGCTATACAGCAACAAGTAACCCATATGTAACACTTGCAGGTGACTTGGAAGCACAGTAAAGTTGGAGAAGCACTGAACTATACCATGAACTGGAAGGCAGAGACCAACTTTAGTTTTTTCCATATCTTCAGACACAGCTTAGCACAGTGTGTGACCATCAGCAATTTTTCTTAGATTAAATACAAAATTAAATTACCCTATTTTTAAAAATCTAAACTTTTTTGTAATAAATATTGCATGTAGGCACATTGTAAAATACTCCAACGTGCTAAAGTGCATTTACAGTGACAGGTAAATGTCCCTGTAGACTGCTTGTTGATTAACAGGAAACTGGGACCATTTGCCTCACTTTGTGATTACCTGTTAGCAATCTGCCACATAAGAGTATGTTTTTTTCTTGCTTTTTTTCCCTTCCAAAAGTAATGCTTGTCTCAAAATCAAACAATATAAACTGCATATAAATAAAATAGAAAAGAAAACACCCCTTCCAAACTTACTTCCTAAAAGTAAAACCATTACTAAGAATTCATTTTGTACATTTTCAGACTTAAAAAACAACAACAACAAAGCTTTTTATCCATATTATGTATACATTTGGGTTTGTATTGTTCCCCACATGGAATGAGACTGTGCATCTCAATCTGCAGTTTGCTTTTTTCATTCAGTGACCCACTCGGCCATCTTTCCAAGTCTTCCATGTGTAGATCTACCTCACTCTTTCAATTGGCAGCTGTTCTTCTGTGGTACAGCTGAGCTGCTCTACCGCACCAGCCCCTTACCTGCACTGACGAAGTACTGTTTTGACTGCTTTACCCCCCACACTCTCAGGACCACCTTCTGGAACGTGTGCTCTCCTTAGCCCCCCATTTACAGAGTCTTGTAGGTGCTGGGGAGGCTTGAACTTAATCACCAGGCCATCTAGCCTCTATTTCCTCTTTTCTCCTATCAGTGGACATTTGGGTTATTAATAACAGACTTTGGGAGACCTCTAACACTTCAAGGGGACCACATTTGAACATAGCTTCTATAGAATTTAAGGAGGAGGGACCCCTTGGTGTTCTTAATCCTTTTGGAGATACTATACCTTCTTGAGAATATGATAAAAACTTTGGACTCTCGCCCCACAAATTCCTAAAAGTCCTTCTTTAAGACCCCTGGATCCAGGTGATTTGCAGAGAAGAAAACATGACCTTTCCCAACCAAAGGAACAAAAGAAACCTTTCCTCAAAACCACCTTTTTCTGGCCCTGCCAGAGCACAAAGCAATTTTCTGTTGAATTTGTTTTCAAAGGTTTAAAAGGCACCTCTTGCCTTCAGGGATGTGTTTCCTCCCACTTCTTGAAATGGCAGCCCTGCAGGGCTGTGACTGAACTTGACAGGTTCTCTTATCCTTTCTGGGGAAGAACTATTTGCTGCTGAGCACGCCAAGGGCAAGGAAGGTCTAGGCCTAGGGCTTCCCGGCACTTGACTGGCCACCAGAGGGCGCCCTCGTCCAAGAGTCCTGAGTGTAAACCCCTACTAACCCAGCTGCTAGTCTTTTCCTGAATGTCAGAGGGACAGTGCCTGGAGAGCGTGAACAGGCCATTGCTAAGCGTTGTGATAATCTGGCCTTAATAATCCCACCTCCTGATCTTTGCTGTGAGATGAGAGTGGAACGTCACATTTGCACATTAAAAGATGAAGGCTTGCTTGGCTGGCTGTTCTACTCTGCTGGGCCACTTTCTTGAGCACCCTTATCAGGAAGGAGGCATTTTCTTGCTGCACTGACTACATATTCATTAGTTGGCACTGCTCCCTGCACTCACTGTGCTCACCCCCACCTTATTCCGATCCATGTACTCCGCCCTTGTGATGAAGGTCGCTTGCCCTTTCAACCCCGTATCTCTTAGGTGAAATCATTCCACACCCTGCCTCCTACCCCTGTATATTCTGGCTTCCTGTATTGGTATTGCATGGTTGTTACCTGCTTTCTTACCATTTCTCCAGCCTGGCAGCGAGCTTAAAATTAACGGCTGTCCCCAGTGCCTGGAATGTAGCAGGCTCTGGGTCAACATTTGATAAATGAATCAAAGCTAAGAAGGAATCATGTAGGCTTATAGAATGGAACAAAATGAGTTGAAATAGTAATGACAAACAGTCACCTACCTAATCTCAGTAGGAACACATGTAGAAACTTCTGGATGAAATTTTGTATTGAAGTGTGGAAGGAGGGTCAGACTTGTGAGTGTCCTTCAGTCCTCTTGTCCATCTGCACTGCAAACCCAGCATAAGCCTGACAGACATTTCACCCATAACCATGTCTCAACTCTTCTCCTTCAAGATGCTTTTTATTTATAGTTGTTCTGTTGTGGGCTTTTTTTTTTTTTTAAGAATTTCTATTTATGATATTTGGTTCCTTTTTGAAAAATCTCAACTATATTTCCAGTCGTACAGAATTTTCTAATGTTTAATTGTGGAATTCTTAAGTAGGTGTGCACATTAGACTAAACTCTTGAGATTAAAAATCTTACTGATGCTCCTGCTCCCCCGGTCCCACTGAAGCAGGTGGTATAGGGCTGGCCTAAGGGATGGATATGATTTAAAGCCTCACACAAGGGCTCGGCGGGCGCCCTGGTTGAGAATCAGTGGTTTAATTCCACAAGGGCTTTATTTTAAATCTGCCCCCAAATGCTTTTATTTGCTTTATATCCTACTTTCTAGGCTGATTGAGGATTGTCATTCTGTCCCACCTTTCCTGCCTTGTTTTCTGCTAACATGTGACCTCTTGTTCTGATTTTTCCCGCCCACTTGGTGCCATAACAGCTGGAAGCATGTCCCAGACCAAGTTGTCTTCATCAGGTGGAAACAATGGTGACAGCGATGCTCTCTGTTCTAATGAGGTTGGGCAGAGGGTGGTGGGGGCAGCCTTTGTGTGGCATTTTCCATGCCTAACTTCCAAGTGGCTTTATTGAAACAAAAATTACACAGAGATGCCACCTGTTGCACCCACTTGCTGATGCTCTGTGTATGTGTGTAAGTCAACATGGGCATTAAAAGATTAATTATCTCAGTTACTTATTTGGCTACTTTAAGGGACCATATTATTCTGAGTGCTGTGCAATAAAAGAATTTTAGAACATGAAATTCTCCCTTACATTATTTAGAAGAGACACAAAACATCTCAACTTTGCTTCTAATAAATATTAGCTCTGCTAAATGAAAAATCCAGAGGTCATTTTTTTTAAGGTATGATTTATCTAGGAGCTCAAACCAGATACCTGGCTTCTCTTCTATCACAGCTGTTCACAGTGTTGAAATTGGGCTCCCAGTGGCCGTCCTCACATGTGGCAGCAGGATTGCTGCAGCACTTCTATCCATCACCTCCTGACACTCCTCCATCTGCAGAAAGGGTGAGGGTCTCTTCCTGTAGCTTCTGCAGAAGAGAGAGAAAACTTGGGTTTCCCAGCATCCCCAGAACATGCCCCTCCCCTACCTGTAGCCTCATTTTTCTCCAATCAGGTCCTGTTCCTGGCCCATGACCAATCACTGTGGCCTGGGAAATTGTGCTGCTCTCATTGGACAGGCATGGTCACATGGTTGCTTTGAAGCTGATGGAGGAGAAACAACACTCAAGCCAAGTGGGTTTAGGTTGAGGTAGGGATGGTTCCCACAAAGAAGGCCAGAGTCCCCTCACCAGAAGAGAGAACAGATGGTGGGCAAGTAGGAAGCCTGATGTCCCCTGAGCCCAGGAGGTGGTGATGGAGACAGAACTTGAGTAGATTTAAATGGGGCAGTGGGTTCAGGATGGACTGGATCAGGGAAGATGAAAAGGGGATGGGGAAGAACATTACTATAGGGCTCCCCTGACGGTGGGTGGGACCTGGGTGAGGGCTGAATGGTGAAGAGCGGCAGCTTAGCATAATGGTATAAAACACCTGGGTGTTCATTCTTGCTCTGCCATTTACCAGGTATTACCTAACCTCTCTGTGCCTTCATTTGCCCTCTTGTGAAATGATTGTACCTGGGTTGTCATGGATGAACCTGAAAACATGCTAAATGGAAGAAGCCAATCGCAAAGGGCTGCATATTGTATGATCCCATTTACAGTGAAATGTCCAGACCAGTTAAATCCATAGAGACAGGATGTAGATTAGTGATCGCCTAGGGCTGGGGGAAGGGGGTGTTGGAGGCTGATAGCTAAGGAGTTTTCTTTTCAGGAAAATGTTCTAAAGTTGACCGTGACGGTGGCTGCACAACGCCGTGAATGTAATAAAAGCCATTGAATTATACACCTTAAATCAGTGCATTGTATGTGTGAATTACACCTCAGTAAAGACTTTAAAAGTAATATGTGTCAAGTGCTGTGAGTGTTGCCTGGCACAGGCCCTCTGGCCGCCCCATCGGACCTGGAGGCCCAGCTGCCGCAGGACCGTGGAGGCCTCACCGTCCCTCGGGCTTCAGGGTCCTTCGCCCTGCCCTCACCTTTCTGCACAGTGTCGTCATTAAAACTCCACTCAGTTTCCCCCGTGCGAGTGCCTCTGCTGCCTGGACCCTGACTGCACAGAACAGCTTTGCAGAAGAGGAGCAGGACTTGGCTCCTCATCAGCTGGACACGCAACATGGACTAGTAATGGTCGATGTTATGCTTCCACTTCGCTGGATTGTGGGTGCCCATTTACTCAAACACGATTCTGGATGTTTCTGTGAGGGTGTTTTTAGTTGAGAATA